TTTTTTTTTTTTTTTTTCTTCTGCTTTTGGTCAGGGTCTTGCTAAGTCCCTACACTGCCTGGGCTTGAACTTGTGATTCTATTACCTCAGCGACATGCATGCAAGCACCTTGGGGGCTGCCACCACAGCACCCATACCTTGCCTTCTTCATGTCAGTGTGACTGCCCCACTCCTTGGGGACATGGTGTTGAGAAACTGCTCATTCCTGCTGGCCAGTATCTCTGCCACTGCCTGTCAGTCTGCCAGGGTTGCACTGCTGGGACCTCCTCCCTTGTGCCCTCTGCTTTCCAAGGACTCATCTGTTTGCCCCTACTTTGCCCTCAGGCTGCCTGGGTGACTCTTGGGCACAACTTTCCAAGGGCCAATAGAAATATTTGGGAAAAGAAAAAGTATTTACAAAAGGTGTCACCACACCTCCTCACCACACGGTGACACAGTGGGCGTGGGCTCGCTGTAGGGCTGGACCCTGGAGGGGCCTCCTGGAGCTGAGGGCTTGTGCCTGGGAGTGTCTGTTTCATGCCACTGAGGCCGTCACACAAAGTGCTATGCTTGCTCTTCTCACTGGTGCCCCAACTCCAGTGGGCAGGGCCTGGGCCTTCCTGTCCCCATGTGTCTGGTGCTGTCTGCTGCCTGTACCTAGGAGTGCTGAGGAAGAGCTCGAGTCAAGGCAGTAAACTTGTCCCAGGAGCTTCCTGGTGTCCACTGCCAGGACAGGAGACAGTTGGAGTGGTAAGGATCTAATGGTGATGGGTGCTGGCACCCAGCCACAGGCCCAGCCCCTGTCTCCCCCTCCCGGAAGGTGTGGGTGCTGCGGTGGCAGCCCCCAGCCAACAATAACGGTTGTGGGAGCTGGGACGAGAGACCGGACAAGCCGGCCAGGCAGGTCCCGGTCCTGGTGCAGTTCCTGTCTCCAGGTCCTGTCCTATAGGCCCAGTCTACTGGGGTTCCACCTGAGGAGCAGAGGCAACACAGCTCCTAGGGTGGTGCAGGGCGGAAGCACAGCCCAGGGGCCAGGTGGGTTTGGGCACAGGCTGGGGGGAGAGGGGACTTGGGGGGAATCCCCATTGTAGGAAGAGGGCATCGGGCTGTGCCTGAAGGGAGTGCTGAGGGCCCCCAAGGTGACCTCCCTGGGCTCACTCCCATCAGACAGGGGCTTGGCACTAATTTAAAGGCCATTTTGTAGTATAAAATTTTATTATTTGGAAACTGGAAAAAAACAAACAAAACTGGAAGTGTGGAGAAGAAATCCTTCCAGTTCTAGAAGTCCCTGAAGGCATCTGGTCTATTTCCTGACAGCTTTTTCCTATACACTTTTTGGCTACTGCAGCCTGGAGGATGGGGGGAGGGGAGCGAGACTGGTGTCCCAGGTCCCTAGGGGGTGGGGTCCTTTGCTGCCCCCATAGCTCTGCTGGGACAGCCACTTGGGCTGCCAGAGAGGTGGGGACAAGGTGACAGCAGAATGTGACTCCTGACCTGCGAGGTGGGCAGGCAGGCAGCTTGGGGTCGGGTGGGGTGTGGCAAGCACTTCCGGGAGCTGCGCAGGTGCGGCAGCGCAGCTTGTAGGTAGGTTCTGCCGCCCTGGTCCCTGCTGGGCTGATCTTGTTCTTCAGTCGAGGACGCAGCAGCTGAGGTGTGAGGAGTCCATTGCCCGCCCTCCTCCCCCTCGGGGCTCGACTGCAGCTTCCGGCACTGGTGGACCTGGGTCTAGGGAGCCTGAGAGCTGCCAGCTGGCTCCTGCCTGTCCCCTCCTCTCGCCTGCCGCCTGCTAGGAACCGGCTCTCTCTGGAGATCGCCCTCCTGAGTTCTAGGTGGGGTGGGGTGGCTGGTTGGGTATAGCTTTGGGAGATGATCCAGGGTTGAAAGTCAGAGAGCAGAGGCCTCCGACTATGGATGGGGTTTCTTTGAGGGTGTACAGGAGCTGCAGGAGGATCCTGGACAAGACCAAAGGGGTCAGTTGGGAGGGGGTGTTAAGTCCAGAATCTGGGAGTGCTGATAGCTGCTGGAGGCACGTAACACCTGCCCTGAGGCTGGGATCTTGCACCTGCCCTGTGGGGCCTCAGAGCCAGGTGGGAGGAGTTTACCTTGCCTGCCAGCTGTTAGGATACCAGGCATCACAGGCCTGGCCAAGGGAGAAACACTTGACCAGGATTGGCTCAGTCCTTTCTGGTCAGGCCCAGTATGGGACTCTAACTCTAGTATGTGGTAGGGCCTCTTTCACCCCAAAGTTGCTCCTCTAGCTGCCAGGCACCAGTCTGCCCCTGTCACTAGGGCACCCACAATCAGCCCTGGAGACCAACAGTCCCGGCTCTTGTCCTGCACTGGTTCATCCTGGACTGCAGCTGTTGTCAGCCCACTGGTCCCCAAGTCTGTGTCACCTGACCAGATCTGGGGTCCTCCAAGCCTGCAGCAGCCCCACCCATGCCTCTGCCACACCTTCCTCTTCCTAGTGGGAGCAGGAGGCCCAGAGCGCACTTGCACCCCGTTCCCATTTTTCCTGCCCTCCCTTGGCTTTGCAGCGCCATGGCCAGCCCTGGGGAGTCCAGGGCAGTAGGGGCCCAGGCAGAGGAGGACAAGGAGGAGGAAGAGGAGGAGACGGTCTCCACAGGGCGCAGTCCAGGTCCAGCGGTGCTGCAGCAAGCCCAGGAGCTTTTCGTGCTGTGTGACAAGGAGGCCAAGGGCTTCATCACCCGGCAGGACCTGCAGGTGAGCCCTGGCCTGCAGAGCCAGCTGCCAGGGCTGGCCTGGGCACTCACCCTGCCCTCCGCCTGGCCAGGGCCTACAGAGCGATCTGCACCTGACGCCGGAGCAGTTGGAGGCCGTATTTGAGAGCCTGGACCATGCCCACACAGGCTTCCTCACTGCCCGCGAGTTCTGCCTGGGCCTGGGTGAGCTGGATCTCTCCTCCCCAAGCCACCAGAGCTTCTGCACGCGGGTGTAGGGGGCTCCTGCTGCCCTATGTGTGCCTTGACCTTCCTGTTTCCTATGCTTGCCCCTGTCAGACTCCAGTGGGGCTGGGACCTCTTGTCACCTTCCATTCCCAGGCCAGTAGGACCAGGAAAAGGAACAAAAACAGGAAACCTGGCCTGGGAGAGGGCAGGAAATGGGGGGGGGGGAGGGAATAGGCAAGGTGCCAAAATCCACCTGTCCCTAATCTCACTGTGTTCGCAGGGAGGCTTGTGGGGCTGCAACCGGCAGAAGGGGTGACCCCCTCGTGGACTCCAGAGGAAACCTTTGAGTCATCGGGCGTGCAAAGCTTCCGGGGCTCCTTGGAGGGAGAAGAGGAAGATGAGGAGGATGTGGAGCGGTTCTGCACTGTGCTGGAGCAGCTAGGGGTGGCCCGGGTCCTGGGCGAGTGAGTGGCGTGGCAGAGGCCCGCCTGTTTCTGTTTCATGTGGGTCTGCATGCGGCCTGGGGCTCATGCTGTCCCCAGGCCCAGTCACCAAGGGCTGTGTACAGAGGAGCGGCCGGGCGTGATTTCCCGCAGAATTTGCATCTCGGGCAGCTGAGGCCCCGGGTGGGGCAGCGCGGCACCCGGTCGGTCGCAGACGGGCCGAAGGGAATGTTGCCAAGTGGAGTGAGCCGGACTGTCCCAAGCTTCACGCTGTTGTCCCCTGCAGGCAGCGCGCAGTAAGGGCACTCTGGGCCCGGCTGCAGCTCGAGCAGCCTGAGTTACTGGGCTCCTTCGAGGACGTCTTGCTGCGTGCGTCCGCCTGCCTGGAGGCAGCGGCCCGGGAGCGCGAAGGCCTGGAGCAGGCGCTGCGGCGGTGAGGGCGACGGGGTCCGGGGTGGCGACGGGGTCCGGGGTGGCGGCGGAGTCTGGGACAGCAGAGGGTGCTCATGGCTGTCGCCCCGTTCCCAAGGCGGGAAAGCGAGCACGAGCGGGAGGTGCGAGGCCTCTACGAAGAGCTGGAACAGAAGCTGCTGGAGTCTCGACCGCGTGGACAGAGCCAGGTGGGCCCCCATGCCTCGGCCCATTGTGAGTCCCGCACTCTTGGAGCCCCTCACCCCTCAGCCCGCGATCTCCTCAGAGGGGCGCAGAGGCTCAGGTGCCTCGTGCACCGCAGACCCCGCCCCGCGAAGAGCAGAGGGCCCTCATAGAGCTGGAACTGCAGAGGCGCGAGCAGGAGCTGGAGCGCGCGGGGCTGCGGCAGCGGGAGGTGAGCACGCTCTGGCGGCCCCGCTCCCCAGCCTTGCGTCGCTGAACCGGGACTGCAGGGCTAGCCATCACCCGGGGCTCTCGCCAGCGCGTTCGCGTTCCCACAGCTGGAGCAGCAGCTGCAGGCCCAGGCCGCTGAGCAGCAGGAGGCACAAGCCCAGCACGCGCAGCTGCGGGGCGTTTTGGAGGCGCTCCGCACGCAGCTGGAGGGGGCACAGGAACAGCTCCGCCGGCTGGAGGGCGAAGCCCAGGGCCGCCGCGAGCAGATACAGAGGTGCGTGGGCCGCCAGGCCGCTCCGCTCCCAGCTCAGCCCTGCGCCCTCGTCCTTTGCACTCGTCATAACCCCATCCACAGGGACGTGGTCACTGTCTCCAGGAATATGCAGAAGGAGAAGCTCAGCCTACTGCGTCAGCTGGAGCTGCTCAGGTGCGCTCAGGCCCAGCGGGCAGGGCTCTTGGGTGCTCTAGGCCTCCACCCCACTTGTGGGAAGGAAGACCTTCCTGTGGCTGACCTCTTCTGATTGGAGGAAGCGGGCCTAATGATCCCCTCCTCCCTCGCCCCCTCTTCAGGGAGCTGAACACACGACTGCGAGATGAAAGGGACGCCTGTGAGGCCAGGCTGCTGGGAAGCAGCCACAAGAAGCCCATGGGCACCTCAGGCCTGCCCAGGCCCGCCTGCTGCTGCTGGGCTCGGCCCCCCAGACGCGGTTCCGGCCATCTGCCCAGTGCCCGTTGACCAGCCCGCCTGGGCCCCTGCTACTCCTTGAAGGTCACTTGTCCTGGGTGCGGGATGCCCACCCAGAGCCCCCACCAGGGCTGATCTGTGGATGGTCAGCGCTGCAGGGCCTTACATACCCTTGCTATTCTGCATTTTGTCCAGCAAAAAGAAAAACAAACGTGTATGGCGCAATAAAGCGCACACCGCTGCAGTCCTTTGGCCCTCTGTGTATCTGGGATCTCCTGTGGTATGCTGGGCTATGGTCCCTGTGCGAGTCCTTTGCGTCCCTGGTCGTGCTACCAACCTTCCACTCCTTCACCATAAGTCAGAGGGAGCACAGGGCAGTGACAGGCCATCAGTAACCGGGTCCGGGTCCGTTAGAGCTGAAGGCAGGGCCTGACCTTTACCCTCACCGCCAGTCCCACGCCTAGGCCTCATGGCCTGTAGCCTAGGGATCTATGCAGAGACCACACTCCTGCAGGGTGTCCTCCACCTAACACCCAGCACCCAAAGCGGCGCAAGAGCCCGCGGCTCTATCCCGACCCACTTGTGTCCACCGACCCCAGCAGCCACCCAGAGATTCCTGGGACTGGCCTCTAGCTGCCCTCCCTGGGCACTGCCTCCTCTGTCTCTCGTGAGCTTTCGCTGGGTGGTGGGCACCACCAGGCCAGTTTCCCGGCCTGCAAAGCCTCGCGCCGCTCACAGCCGCGCCAGCGCTGGTGGGGACCTGCCCCGCAGCGGGGCTGGGGGCGGGCCACCACAGGGTGTGTTCCACCGCGGGGCGGGGCCGGCCTTGGGGGCGGGGCAGAGGCGAGGCGCGTCCTCCCAGGCCCTGGCCGCGCCTTCGGGTGTTCAGAACGTCCGCCTCCGCAGAGCTGCCGCCGCCTGGGTCTCTGTCGCGTGGTCGGTGAGTGCGCCGCGGGTGGATCCCAGTGCCGCTGAGGCCTTGCACGCCCAGGGTCCGAGGCTGGCCGCCGGCGCTTGGTCTGCGTCCGGCGGACCGGTCCGCACAGAGTTCTTAGGCCCTTCCGGAGGGGAGGGGGCTGGGCAGGGCGTGTGTAGCGCCTTCCGGACCTCAAACAGGCTTGCGGTGTCCTCCGTGCCCCTGGGACTGGGTTCGCGCTTTGTCCGTGGGCGCCGGTGCCCTCCCCCCCAGGCCCGCCCACCGCACGGTGCGGCCAGTGGGCGGAACGGTGACCGCGCCTGCAGGGGCGGGAGTGCGGTGACCTCATCCCGGTAACGCGGGGCTTCCCGCGGAGGTCCAGGGCCTGGGATGGGCAGCCCTGCCCCGCCGGTCAGGGCTATTTCTGGCCGGGCTTATCTCTCACGCCCGTCCTTTCCCTGGGGATTCAAATTCAAGTTCACCAGACAGCCCTGGGAAGAGGGGCGACTTCTCGGTGTTCTTCTGGAGTCCAGGCCTTGTTTGGTGATTCTGTTTTTTGGTTTTTTTTTTTTTTTTTTTTGCGGAACCGGGGATTGAACTTAGGCCCTTGGGAAGCGCTTATTCCACTGAGCTATCTCCCCAGCCCTCAGGCCTTGTTTGGGAATTAGCCATTCCTGTAGGCCTGGGCCTTGTTGTCTGGCCTGGGGACACCCACAGTAGGAGGGATCTGTTATTTTGTATTTGGCTTTTTGAGACAGGGTCTTGCTTTGTCTGGCCAGCTCAAGGTCTGGCCAATGAACCTCTTGCCTGAGTCTCCCAAGTACTGTGATTACAGGGTTGGGCCACTAAACCCAGTGGCAGGAGTGTATCCCCTTCCCCCCACCAATAATACACTTTGTATTTCGGTCCTAACTCAGAGTAGGAGGCCTCCCATCCCCCTGCTCAGGGGTGAAGGTCTGGGCCACCCACAACTCCAGGGATGGTGTTAGTCTGCTTTCCAAAGCCCAAGGGTGGAGGTCTCTTCATAGCCCCATCCTGGGGTAGAGATCATTGCCTTCCCCTACCCCTGGGCTGCTGCTGTATAGCTTCCTTGGGGAGGGACTGGGACAGGGAGTTGGAGCTCAGGCCCTGGGTGGGAACTGGGGAGGTCTGAGCTCCCTCCCATCATACAAGGGTCCAGAACCGCCTCCTCCTGCCGACCCAAGCCCAGAGCACTGGGTCTGGCTAGTGCTCTGCCTCTGGATGTAGTTCTGGTCCACAGGCAAGGTCTGGTCAAGGAGGGGACAGTCCTGTGACCTGTCAGGTGCCCCTCGCCCGGGATCCTGGGGAATTTCCACCCACCTGCCTGAGGAGCCCTCCACAGTCAGCTGGTGAGTGCCTGATGGAGTGGGGCCAAAGCAGATGAAAGTGTGGACACGTGGCCCAGGGTGCCCAGCTGCAGTCTGCACCCAGCCCTGCCAGCGCAGACACTGGTGTACCCACAGGCTCTGGGATGGGCACTGCCACTCCCCCACTTGGGGGAGGACAGTGGGTCTGCAGGCTCCACCTGTGGGCACCTGCACTCCTCTTACATATGCAGCCCCCACTTGCTGCCCCTCTGCAGATGTTTGGGGGGCACCTTCCAGGCAGCCGGGGGCCTGGGGCACAGGGAATGCTGTGGGGCTGGTTTGGGTCTGCTGAGCTCATCCCAGGCATCTGTCCAACCCCTGCCCCCAACCCCATGGGCACCGAGGATTTGTCGTCCTCGCTGCTGGGGCCAGGGCTTCAGAGCTGCAGCCAGGAAGTGACTCAGTTCCCAAGGAGGCTCCTTCCAGGCCTTCCTTGCAGCAGGCAGGGCTTCGCATCTGTGTCCCCGTCTGTCCCCCTGCCAGTCAGGGTCCTGGTGTTGCAGGCGGTCTGATCCCCTTTCCACATCCCAGCCCAGGATGGGGGAGTTCAACGAGAAGACGACCTGTGGCACGGTCTGTCTCAAGTACCTGCTGTTCACCTTCAACTGCTGCTTCTGGGTGAGGAGTAAAGCCTGCACCCCACCCGGGCGTGGCATGGAGCTGGGCCAGCTGTGCTGACAGCTTGTGCTGCCCACAGCTGGCTGGCCTGTCTGTCATGGCAGTAGGCATCTGGACGCTAGCCCTCAAGAGCGACTACATTAGCCTGCTGGCCTCAAGCACCTACCTGGCTACAGCCTACATCCTGGTGGTGGCTGGTGTTGTTGTCATGGTGACAGGAGTCCTAGGCTGTTGTGCCACCTTCAAGGAGCGGCGGAACTTGCTGCGCTTGGTCAGTGGGGCATAGTGGCACCGTGGTGGGGGTGGCAGGGACAGGGGCCCACAGGGGGTGCCTCACTGGCTCCCTGGGACTGGCTCTGATGGGGCCTGATGTGCAGGTTGGCCCTGCTGGAGGCATGGTTCCCTGCCTGCCCAGTCCTCAGGGAAAGCACCAGCTTTGTGGAGCTGGGAGCTGGACAGCCCTGAGCTTCACCCTGTTGCTGGAGGCCCTAAGGGGGTGGGGCTTCACCCTGGTATTTGTGGCTAGGAGCCCCCCTCACCAGGTTCCTGCCCTCCAGTATTTCATCCTGCTCCTCCTCATCTTCCTGCTGGAGATCATTGCGGGAGTCCTGGCCTACGTCTACTACCAGCAGGTGAGGGACTGCATAGTCTGCGGGGTATGCAGCCCACCCAGGTGTTTGCACATAGGGACAAAAGATGTGCTGACACCCCCACTCTGCTGTCAGGTCTTGGATCTCATGGGTGGGAAGACATGGAGGCACTGTCTGACCCCAGCTTGTCCCTCTGGGAGCCTCTTCAGCCCCACCTGAAGGGTAACTTCAATCCTCTCCCCACCAGCTAAACACGGAGCTCAAGGAGAATCTAAAGGACACCATGACCAAGCGGTACCACCAGCCAGGCCATGAGGGTGTGACCAGTGCAGTGGACAAGCTACAGCAGGAGGTAGGCATTGTGGGGAGTGCCTGTGGCTGTCCCCGGAGTGGGCTGCAGGCCACAGCCCAGGCTTAGCCCTGCTGCTTGTAGTTTCACTGCTGTGGCAGCAACAACTCTCAGGACTGGCGGGATAGCGAGTGGGTCCGCTCTGGCCAGGCAGGCAAGCGCGTGGTCCCCGACAGCTGCTGCAAGACTGTGGTGCCTGACTGCGGGAGGCGGGACCATGCCTCCAACATCTACAAGGTGGAGGTAAGTGGGTACCTGAGGGGTGGGCAGTCCAGACCCACGGGCCAGTGCTCACCTGAACTGTCCTACCCACCTGCCAGGGTGGCTGCATCACCAAGCTGGAAACGTTCATCCAGGACCACCTGAGGGTCATCGGGGCTGTGGGCATCGGCATTGCCTGTGTTCAGGTGAGGGCCTGGGGGTGGTGGGGGGACGAGTGGCTGGCAGCCCTGAGGTGCCTGCTCATGCCCACCCGGCTGTGCACAGGTCTTTGGCATGATTTTTACTTGCTGCTTATACCGGAGCCTCAAGCTGGAGCACTACTGAGCCCTGGGACCTGGCCCATGTCCCACATCTGACTACTGAACTGAGACTGCTGATGGCCAGAGCGACAGCCCTGTCTGTGCTCCCTATGCTGACCCTGAAGGGGGCTCCAAGTGCCTTTCACTGTACACCACAAAGTCCCGAGGCCATTCCCACCCCAGCACCGCATCAGATGGCCCAGATCTGGCTAGTGGGTGGGGGCTAGTTCTGCCAATCAGGTGCCCCCTCATGTCTCTAGTCAGGGCTGTCTGGACACCCCTTATGTGGCAATGGCAGGAGGGGCCACCTGTGCCTGCCTAGCTCCTGGAGCTATGCAGTCTTACCTCACCTGGGTACAGCCTCTGGCCTCTCCATAAGGCTCAGCTGCCTAATGGCTGGAACCCCGGGGTTGTTTCATGTTTTAAAACTGTTTGCTCCCATGCCTTCTATCATCATATATACTGACACATGTCCCTATAGTCTCCTCATTAGCATCCCTCTGCTGTTGCCTACATGCTCACAGTTGCTTCTGTCTAACAACAGGTGCTCAATAAACATTTGTTGGAAAAGTTGGGCTGACCTTAGGGACAGAGTGGGGTGTCCTGAGGGTCCGTCCTCACACTCAGTAGAATGTGGGCAGATCTACCCGTGAGTATCCCCAGGGTCCAGAGAGCTCACAAGGCTCACAGGCAGTGGGGCATGCTCCTTAAAGGTGGAAGCTCCTGGGGAGGGAAAAGACAACTTCCAGAACCACCTGAGATCAGTGATCCTTGTGGCCACCTCTGGGGACATAGAGGTGGGGCAGGGCACCAGGGCCTGCTGGGGTGGGAAGGCTCTGACTTTCCAAAGCTTTAGCTGGAGGGCCCCAGATGTGGAAGCCAGGGGTGTCCCTTTCCCTCTGCAGGCACTCTGGGCTGGTGGGCCAAAATGAGGGAGGCACATGTCAGTCTCTGCCCATTGGGATGCTGCCTTGTGGACAGTGGTTCTCCTGGGCAGTGAGGAAGAAGCATCCACTCCCACTCGCCTGGCCCAGTGGGCTGCAGGAGTCATGGGCAGGCCACAGGTGGAAGGCCTCTTGTAGGGCTAGCTCACAGTAGCCTGGCTGGCTCAAATCCTGACTCTGGAAGGGCAGGGTCCACTGACCCAGGAGTTCTAGCTTCCGCAGGACTGTAGCTGTTGTGGGTTCTGTTGTAGCACGAAGGCTTGGATTGAGTCCTGAGCTCTAACTTCCTAAAAGAGGGGTGATGGAACTAAGTAGAAACAAAACCAGCCTGGGGGGGTGGGAGGAGAAGCCTCAAGTGGGACAAAGGGCACAGAAACACTGGCGCAGGGAGCCTTGCCCAGCCAGGCGAACTGGCAGGACCCTTGGTAGTTCTGCAAAGACCTTTACTGGACTCTTTCTAGAATGGACATTGTGTGCACAGCGCTGTGGCCCCGTGGTGCTGCCACCTCTTCAGTGCCTCGGCGTGGGCAGTCTTCTCCAGGCCTCACTTCTCCAGGGGTGCATAGTTGAGGAGCTTTTCAATCAGGTCCACGTGTGCGAGCAGCATCCGGCGGCAGCAGTAGCGTTTCAGACCCAGCGCGTCCAGGGCGTCCCTGGTGGGGGAGACGTGGTGAGGCTGACTGTGCTGGCCAGGCCCCAGGCCTGGAGGACCGATCCACCTCTCGTGTGGGGTAGTGCTGGCTGCTCATCTTTTCCCTTCCTCTTCTCTCTCCTGAATCAGGGCTGCCCCCGGGGCACCTTCTTCTGTCTACTCTCTAGACCAGTCTCACCCACTCAAGCCGTGTGTGCAGCCCTCTTCCAACCTCCAGCCTTGTGCCCAGCTCTCACCTGCTTCAGGCTCTACAGTTGGGCGGGGCTGCTGCTGGGAAGGGCTTCAGTTATTTAGGGTTTAGCACCAAACTGCTAACCCTCACACCTCCCACACAGCTCGTCTGCCTCTGGGGCCATCAGCAGGCACAGGGCCTCACGCTGGCCACCGCTAGTGGGGGTCTCTACCCAGCTCCGCTCCCCAAATCAGGTAGAAAGGCCCATTGTCAGGGAGCCACCTCTATCATGTCCCAAACTAGTTAGAAGCCTGAGCTGCTTGAAACCTAGTCACCCAGAGGCCTAATTCCCACACTGTTGGCTCCAGTGTGCAGATGCCAGCTTGGGCAGGGGAGGCCTGAGGGGGCTTGACCATGGTTATCTCCCCGAGAGGGGGCCTGGGCGGCTTCGGCCACTCACACCCATGCTGATCATTCCCGAAGCCCCCTCAGCTCTGAGTGTCCCATTGTATAGGGCAACAGGGGGCTTGACCATGGTTATCTCCCCGAGAGGGGGCCTGGGCGGCTTCGGCCACTCACACCCATGCTGATCATTCCCGAAGCCCCCTCAGCTCTGAGTGTCCCATTGTATAGGGCAACAGGAGCTGGGGCTTCACAGGAGACCAAGACACAGCTGTCCAGAGTGGCTGATGGGCAGACATGGTAGTGACTAAAAAGACCCATGATAATGCTTGGGTGGAAAACGTCTCTTCTGCATCTTAAAGGATCAAGGTTAAAGGACCTGAGGCAGATTCTTTTTTTGTGGTAGGCTTTGAAACAGACAGTAGGTTAGGGGGCAGGGAGACAGAGGAAGCTACGTGGAGGATGCTGTGCTGGAGATGAGGAAGACAGACCAGATAGGTCGGTCGGTGGATTAAAGCGCCTGTTTAGGCAGATTCCCTGCCCGCCCGCCCGCCCCCTGGGGCACACTGAGAGGGACTGAGACTGGGCGTGGTGGCACGTGCCTGTAATCCCAGCGTTTGGGAGGCTTAAAAACAGGGAAGATCACTACAAGCCCTATCAGTGTAGTGAGACCCTGTAGACCCTGTACTAAATACATTAAAAAAAAAAAAAAATTTACTCAGGCTGGGCGCTGTAATCCCAACACTCCTGAGGCTGAGGTAGCAGGATCATTGTGAGTTCGAGACCAGCCTGGGCTACAAAGTGGGCTCAAGGCCAGCCTGAACTGCATAGTGGGACCCTGTACCTAAATATATAAATAAATGGATACCCAAGACACTGGCGCGTGATACCCACATCTCCCCCAACCATACAGGGCACCCCTGAGAGGAAAGAGGAGAGCTGGCCTTGAGATCCAGAATCTGAAAAGCTTAACAGCGGCTCCTCTCGTACGACCTACGGTCGGACCCGCATCCCACCACCCAGCTCTGCCACAGAACCCCAGCCCAGATCCCCCTCCTTGCTATCGGCACTCCCACGGTCCCAGCACCCCGCGGGGACCCCTAAGCCCACGATCCGGCGCACCCTCAGAACCACCCCTCCCATCCCCAACCCACACCCACGACCCACAGGCCCCGCGCGGCCGTCGGGCCTCGCGCGGCGACCCTGGCACTGCCGCACCCCCCGGCAGGCACGGCTTCTCACCCCTCGGTGTACTCGGCCTGCAGCAGTCCCAGGTAGGCTTCCCACTTGTTGCCGACGATCTTCCCACAGGTAAAACACCGAACAGGGATGATCATGGCGACGACTAGCGCGCCGCGCGGCGGTGTCTCGGGATCTGCTCCGGGCGCGCCCACTTGGCGGGGACCGGGTCAGTCCCAACATCAGCCCGACTGACCTCCGCTGCCTCGGCCCGCGCCCCAGCCTACTCTGCCACTGTTGCCGTCTGGCCCCGCTGCGACGAGTCTACCCCACGTACAAGCGGCTTCCGGGGCCCGCACGTCCTCGGAACGCAGGGATTTCCCCCCCATCCGTCGCGGTGGTACGTCCCAGAGCTACGGCGCCCGAGCGTGGCACAAAGGCTTTAGCGCTGGTTCGCATTTCTCGTGCTCACTTGACTGACAGTTTAGCGGCGGGAACTGGGCACAGTAGGAGGTTGCACGCGCAGGTACGGCGACGGCGTGCGGGGACACCGCGGACCGAGGCCGCCTGAGCGCGGGTCAACGCACGAGTTCGTGGCCCGAGTGCGCGACGCCAGTCGAGTGGCGGCAACAAGTGGCAGGGACGGGGTGGAGGTGGGCTGCCCGGGCGCGTGACCACGGCAGATGGGGTCCCAGCCTCGAGCCCTGCCCGCGGCGCTCGGGGACCGGGCGCAGCATCTCGGGCGTTCTTGGGCCGCCGCTGAACGTCGCCGCAGTGACCCGGCCCTTCTTGGGCAGGGGGTTGGAGGGGCGCGGTTAGGGGAGCCCGAGGCAAAGCGGGTGGTTAGGGCAGGCGGTGCGGACAAGGCGCCCTTGGCAGAACCGCAGAGAACCTGGCCCCGTCCCGGAGGCTGTGCCTGCAAGACCGCTGGGGACGACAGGACTGCCTGCTCCCAAGGGGACGGGCTGCCAAGGACCTGGGGGACAGGGTGCTTATGAGGGGAGCCAGGAGCTAGGCAGGGGAGATACGCTCGGGGAGCCTCTGGATTCGGCCTTGCTGGGGTGATGAAGTATTCTCACCCCACCCCCGCAGCTCCGCCGTCCCCCGCGGCCGGCCACGTGCGGAACCACGCGCAGAGGCCACTTCCCTTCTCTGTGCCCCAGGCCGAGTGGACGCACATCCTGCTTGGGCGGCGGGGCGAAGGGACCCGGAATAACGGGGCCCGGGACAGACTTGGCTGCGCGACGAGGTGAGGGCGTGGGGAGGGGTCCCAGGGTCAGCTGGGGGACGCTGGGGACGCGTGGGGGCTCAGGGACTTCGAGGGGGGCCGGGCCTGTATCACCCGTGCTCCGGCCCGGACGAGTTGTTTACCCGGCGAGAGCTGGGAAGCCGGGCCAGGCCGAGGGACATTCCTGGAATTCCGAGTGCGCCGAGGGGGCGGACCCTCGGCTCCGCCCTCCAGTTCCCGGTCCCCAGCCTAGCCCTGCGGGAGCCGCTCCTGGTCTGCGGTGCGAGTGCCGTCCTTACCCACGGCCGGCGTGGACCCGAGGGTCCTGGCTGCCCACTGCTTCCACCCTGGCTGGCACAGCCGCCTCTATGGCTGTCTGGTAGCAGACCGGGCTGTGGGCCTGGCCAGCTCCTCAGGTGCAACAGCGGGAAGAGGGGAGCCAGGGCTTTCCGGGGTTGGTCCGCACTGAGGAACCCTGGGGACGATGGGTGGCGCAGCTCCCAGGAGCGGGACTGGAGCACGGGGGCAAGGAGGCGTGCTCAACTGCGCTTGCTGCCTGCCTGCTCCAGTTCTGCCCAGGGGCCAGGGAAACCTGCGGTTTAAGTTCTGGCCGCTGAGCCCCTCTCGCCAGGGTGTCGCCCTAGAAACAGGCAGTGCAGGGCAGAACGCTGGGCTCACCCCCTGGTTTGGTCTCACTGCCTCAGTTTCCCCATCTGTAGTGCTCTGGTTGGGCCAGCATACTCCCACCTGGAGGGGCCCAGTTCCCTTCAAGGGAGTGCCACTCTCCAGGACCCCAGTCTCACCCTGCATGTTCACCTAGAGGCTGTGTGGCAGCCCTCAGGTGCCTGCTGCTGTCTGAGCTACCAGCCTGAGCTGTCAGGCGTAGCAGACACAATACACAGGCTTTGGGAGTTGGGCCTGTGCAGATGTGACTGGGCAGGATGGGCCCTGCCCTGCTGATCCATGGACAGGTCTGGGTTGGGGGGGGCTGAGAGCATCAGCAGCTCTGCCAGCTGCATATGACCTCGGGCTGAGGAGAGAGGATCCTCTAGTGGTCTCTGGAGGGACTGTCCCCTCCCTGTCCTCCTCTGGTTAGGTGGGCAGAGGTTTCAGGGTGGGTGGTCAGCTTGCCGGGCCAGTATTTGCTATGTCCTGGGGGGGGACACTGGGGCCAGCAGGATATGATGTGCAGCAGGACAATGGACAGTGGCCTCTGAGTGGGCTCAGCCTTTTCTGCTTCCTCAGCTGGCTTGGCCTGGGCATGCTGGGCTGCCCAGGTGGTATGGCACCCCTTAGCCTGGCTGTGTTTCTGGAGGCTGCCTGCTGTCCTCTGCCCATCCCAGGCTGCAGTGGTTGAGCTCCAGAGTCTGGCAAGGTCCCCCTTGAGTGGGACTAAGGTCTGGCCAGGACAGTGACCCCATCCTCTTGGTGCTCACACCCCCACTCCTTCAGCAGAAGGGGTTGTTGTTGGGGCCTTGGTGGCAGATGGGTGGGCCTCATGGAACACTGTTGGCTGGCATAGGCAGTGCCCCTGAGGAGGGGCGTCCATCTACTCTGAGCTGAGGAGGGTGGGGTGCTGTGAAGGACAGGGACAGTGCCAGTTGGGCCCCTGGGTGTGCAGTCCTGTGTACTGGCTTGTGTCCCTGTATCTGCATGTGTCTGTGCACTTGTGTTCAAGGAGTATGCATTCTGCCCTGGATCTGGAAAGCTGCCTGGCTGGGCCACTGGCCAGAAGTCTGGCCTTGATCTGCAACCCCCAGCCTGGTCCTGGGGTAGGGCTTCTGGGCTCTGGCCGCTGGTCTCTAGGAGCCTGTCTCTTGTGGTGGGAAGGTGGGGCTGGGATGAAGCTGGGTGGTCTGGCCTGCATTCTGCAGTCTCCTGCAGGGCAAAAGCTGCCCTGGCTATGCTGACCACTCTCCAGTTCCCCGATGGCTGGCCTGGCACTCAAACTTGGAGTGCCTCCTTTTGGGTGAAACCAGGTAAATCTTGCCTGGATGGACAGGGTATGACAGACAATGAGAGGCCTGTCCTGGACCCCATGGCCCCTGCTTACCTGTGGATGCCTCTTGGGTGCTGGGACAGATACTATCTCTGAGCCTGTCTCCTTAGGGGCCCTGTGGGAGAGGGCTGGGCTTCAGGAACAGTCCCAGGGCTCGCAGTGCCTCCTTGGATAGGTACTGACACTAGGGCCCTACACCTCTGCCTAGCCTGAGGCTTCCTTGTGAACTTGGGTATCCTCAGCTGCTTAGCCCTTGGGCTCTGTTGATGCCAAGTTGGCCCCTGTGCCATGAGTGTGTTGTGCCAGGGAGAGGGCACAATGGACACCCTGGGCCTTGGACTCAGGACAGGAACCCAGCCAGGCTCCTGTTTGTGCATGTCTCCTTGGCCTTGGTGCTCAGGAACCTCTTGGGGAGTTGTCCTGTAGCTAGAGGGAGATAGAGCTGTCCATCATCACTGTGACTTTTTGCCTGGTCATGCAAGGTGTAGAGGTGGGGCTTGGGCTGCTGCCTGGGTAGTAGGAGCCATTCTCAACCTGCGGTCCCTGCTCCCTGCTCTCAATGACCCATCTGGCCTTTATGGGACTAGATAGGCAGCCCAGGGTCCAGCTGTCCCGTGTAGTCAGCCTGGCTCTGGGCTGCAGAGCCAGTTTGGGGTGACCTGGTGGCTCTCCCACAGGAGCAGGGTCAGTGTGGTGCAGAATTGCAGTAGTGTTCAGATGCTTGGGCTGGCTTGTGCACTCAGCCCTGGATTGGGCCTATTCCATCCTCTGCTTGGACAGTTGAGTTTGGCCAGGGACTGCTGGAGGCCCCTAAGGTCCTGATGGGTTCATCTGCTACCACCTGCTTCCTGGTGGTCTGTGGGTAGGGCTCTCTGCTCCCCTGTGGGGCTTCTGCTGTGCAGTCCAGTTCTGTCCCTTTCCTGTCCCTGTTCCCTCATGGGAACAGCAGGCAGAGAGACCTTGGGAAGCCCCTCCTACCCCTGCCCCCAAGTACCAGGACCATAGAGTCTGCCTTAGGGCCCGCACCACAGTCCCCCACCAGTCCCCCAGGGGGCAGAAGAGTGCTGGCGCCAGGAGCCCAGTCCCAGTGTGGGGGAACCTTGCAGGGTGCGAGTTCCTCCTTCTGCTACAGCCCCTTCCAGACACTGATCGCTCATCCTGGCCTTTCCCGAGGCTTCCAGAGCTGGCCAGCCCGGTGGTGGCACCCTCCCTCCATACCTCCTTCCCCCTGGACTGCGGCTTCAGGACTGCCCGTGGGTGCACACCACTGTGACCATCTTGGCTTCAGTCCGAAGCAGGGTGCATCTCTGGCAGCTGTGGCTCCCTGCCCCAGGCCCATGGCTCCCTTTCCATTTCTCCAGGCAGCAGCTCAGCCACTGCCCACGTTCCATGCTGACTGCCTGCCTACAGGGCGGGTGGAATGAGGATGTCCTGGCTGCTCCGTTGGGGGAGCAAGTGGTGGGACCCAGCCGGGGACATCTGTCTCCATCTTTGGTTGCAGGTGTGAGGGGCTGGTGTATGCAGTGCTCGCTCGCTCTCAGGCTGACGGGCTGGTACAGGTGAAATTTGGGGCTTCTTTTTAAGAAATTTTGGACATGGTTCCACGAGTCAAACCGCAATCATTGTATAGCCCGCTCTTGAAGCTGGCCGAGCGCCTCACCCCTGGGAGCCAGGACGGGCCACTCGGGCACCCTGGGCCCACTCGGCGGTAGGCGGTTCCTCCGGGTTCCTTCTAGCTCCTGTGTTTTGGACTCCTACCTCTCTCTCCCGAGCACCCAAACACCCAAAGCCGGAGCTACACTAAATTGCCAGCCACAGCATTTGGGTCGCCGCTGACTTTGCTCGGTGCTATGCGCCCCTGGCATGTTGGGGTCGCTGCCGCGCGCAGGCGGGGTGGTCGGACTCCAGCTGCGGGGTCTCAAGTCCTCCCCGCCGCCCGCGAGGCGCAGGGGCGGGGCTAGTTCTCTGCGATTGGTCGGCTGACGGGGCGGGGCTGCGCGGGATTGGCCAGCGCCGCGGGGCTCAGGGAAGCGGGCAGGTGCCGATCGGACTGCGCCGCTCGCCCGCTGCACGGCGGGGCCGGGCCGGGGGAACCGGCGGGCGAGTATGGGACATCCCGGAGCGGCAGGCACGCGGCGCTGACGGCCCGGCCCCCGCGCCATGCGCCGCTCTAGCACGGACGAGTCCGCGTACAGGCGAAGTCCGTCGCCGGAGGGCAAGGGCTCGGGCCCGTTCCGGCGCGGCAGCAGCCCGTGCGGACGCGCGGGCGCGGGCGGCACCTTCTTTGGGCTGCACGCGGGGCCCGGGCCCCGGGCGGCCCAGGCGCGCTACTCAGCGCCCCGGGGCGGCAAGTACGTGGTCTTCTACCTGGACCTGTCTTTCATCTTTCTCCTAGAGCTGAAGCGCTGCAGCATGGCGCGCGGCTGCCTGCAGGGTGTCAAGTACCTCATGTTCGCCTTCAACCTGCTCTTCTGGGTGAGTCGCGCGCACGTGTGCTGCAGCGGGGAGGCGTCATCACCCTGGATCCCCGGCTGTGTCGCCCGCACCTCCTGCCTTTTTTCCCATGGCTGTTCTGCCCCCAGCCCCCCACTCCACCTTCCCGACTGCATGAGCAGCTGCCGGTGCCCCTGAGGCGCTGTCCTGCGGGCTAGAGTGACCCGCTCTGGCAGCCGTGAGCTGGGGAAGCGCTTGGCTTCACCGGCCCTCCTGCAGCAGCTGAGCACCCCAGATTATGGCCAAGTGCTGTGAGGTTTGCTCAGATTGTGTGTGTGTGTGTGTGTGTGTGTGTGTGTGTGTGTGTGTCTGTGTCTGTGTCTGTGTCTGTGTCTGTGTCTGTCTGTAGGGTGGGACTTGCACCAGAGGGCCAATCCCTCCCACCTAGATGGGGGCAGAGTTGTCACCCCACAGCACTGCTGCAGGGTCAGCTAGGCCTCCGCGGCAGGGAGGACAGGGAGGAGGCCTCAGGCCTGATAAGCCTAACTGCGGGTTTGGGCCTGGAGCTTAGCTGGTGGACGCCAGCTGGGTGAGAAACAGCCAAGGTCACTCCAGGGTCTCTGCGCTCAGAACCTGCTGTCTCCTCCGCGCTGGGGCGAGGGGTGTGGCCCATTTGTGCAGGATACAGTCAGCCTACTGAAGACTGGGTTTGTCTTCTCGCCCTCCCTGCTTTCCTGGCCTTGGTTGTGATGGGGCGGGGGTCATAGCTTGGGCTGCCTGTGGAGTGAGCTGAGAAGGTCTGTCTGAAGAGACACCAGGCACGCAAGCACCTGTCCCCTGCAGCTTGCTCCCAGGGCCTGTCCCCTTTGAGCAGGTCCTGGGAGGACTGAGATGAGGCCAGGGCAGCATGGCAGGTAATGTGGGCTCTGCCAGATGCTAGGCAGGTTCAGTGGAGTTTCCCAGGCAGTGTGATGGGATGGGGGACGCTGCAGGTGACAGTGTAATGGGGAGCAGGGCCCAGGATTTGCAAGGACAGTGTGACCAGTGCTGACAACCAGAGGTGCCAGCTTGGAGGGTAGTTGGTGGGTGAGGTGTGGAGTGGGTAGCCTTGGCTGACATTCTATGGGGTCAGCAGCCCTTCCCACACCCTTTCTCCTCCTCTCTGACCAGACACCACCTGTAGGGGATGAAGAAGGGTCCTCCAGGGGATCTCTGCCTGAGAGCAGCCCAGCTCATATGCCCCAGGTGGGGCTCCAGGCCTAAATGCCAGTTGCAGAGTGGACCAAGCCTCCTGCCCCTGGAGAGAATATGCGCACAGCTGCAGGGACATCTGGGCTGGAAAACAGTCCTTTTATTATGCAGGTGTAACCCCAGCTGCTGATGCCAGCACCAGTACGGGCCTCTCCCCATCTGACTCGGTGACTTTTCTCTTTAGCTTTATGTTTGCACCATCCCAGATAATTCCGCTCCCCCTAGTCTGTGTGGGTTTCTGCCCACACAAAAGGGGCTGAAGCCTCTCTGAGGGGCTGCATAGGTCTGATGGTTGTGATGCCCACCTTTCCTAATCCCAGCATTGCCTGAAACTAAACCCCCTCTGGCCAGTGAGGCGTGTGACTGGGTATCATTGCCCAGAGCCCCCATGTCCTGGAACCTGACATGCTGCTTTTGTCCCCATGTCCACTGGGACATAGGCCCACATCACTGCCTCCAGTTCGCCCCTGGAGCTCCTCAAGCAGCTGGAGTCTGAAGAGACACCAGGCATGCAAGCACCTGTCCTCAGCTGTCCAGCCTCCTGCTGGGGTTGCTGGATGGGCTGGGTGTCCTCTGGCGGCCCCGTCCTCACGGGAGAGGGCTGAGCCCAGGCCTGACTCGCCGTGGTGGGGGCTGGGGCTGTGTGGTCCCTGGGACCCACGTCAGCTGCATGGCTGTGCTGGCAGCTGGCTCACTGCCAGCAGAGCTCTTCCCATAATGGAGGTCGAGGTCTCCCCGGGTTTGGGGGGTTGGGAGAGTTGGCCTCCCCTGGCTTCCTGGCCTCTTACCCCACCCCCGAGCAGCCACAAGATGAAGATAGTTCTGAGGCTCTCCCATGGCCACTTGCTGGCCTGGGCTTCAGGTGCATAGCCTGGCTGCCCAGGATGCAGCCAAGTCTGCCAAGGTGTGTCTGCCCCTGCTGCTCCCTGCAGAGGGCATCCAGGCCTGGTGGGGCCAGCGTCTGGACACCAAGGGTCACGGGGAAATCCTTTCCTCCTCAAAGCCTGTTTTTCTACCTGCACCCTTGGGGTAAACAAGTGTGGAGGCCCCTCAGCTTCTGTCCCATGGCCTGTGCCATTCAGGGCCTGACGTCTACCCACCCCATGCTAGGAGGTGATGGCCACCACACTGAGTTGTTATGGTAGCAGTCTCGGTGCCCGCTCTGTCTCCCAAAGGAAGGTCCTGAGTCTCAGCCTCTGGCTAAAGCCGACAGAAGCTGTGGGCAGGACCTGTGGTCTTGGTTGTTTTACCTCTTGGGAGATGACACCTGAGGGGTAGGGCAGAGCCTCTCCCTGCTGCCGGTGATATTCACTGAGCTGGGGACAGCAGGGAAGTGGCCCTCTGTGCTGGGCACTCTGTGGCCCAATAGACTGGTGGGAGTGATGGCCTAGGATCTGTAAGGCCTTTGGAAGACACGGACCATTCTGTGTGAGTGGACAAGCACACCCTTCCTGGGGAAGCAGCCTCCCAGCCAAGATGGCAGAAGTCCTGCCCACCTGGCAGAGAGGCTTCTGGACATGACCTCGGCTCCTGTGGGGACCCAGCCCTCACCCTGCTTCAAAGATGTGGCTGGCTGCCAGACCATCTGCCACCCTGACCCATATGGCTAGGGAGCAGTAGGCACTCCCCCTGGCGAGCTGGAGGGGGTACAGGATCCTCAATACCTAGCCTCAGGCCAACCCAGAGACACAAAGTGGAGAGGTGGAAGCTTGGGTATCCATCTCATGCCAGGGCTAGACAGGCGCTGAGCCTTCCAGGGCTGTCACAAGCCTCACTGCCCTCGGCAGGGGCCTGGGCAATGCACAAGTCCAGGGTGGGCAGGTGGCAGCTGGGCTGTGCCCAGGCCAGATATGCTGGGCAGATGTCAACCAGAGATGCTCTGTGGGCTGGGACAGAATCTTGGGGGCCAGGGCCCTGGGTGCAGCACAGGAAGGCTGTAAAGGGGCCACTCTGGGGGTGAGCTGCAAGGGACACGGCCAGGTGGGGTAGCAGGTGGGGGGTCAGTTTTACATTCGCCCTGGTACGCTCAGCTCTCCAGCCTTGGGAGCTGGCCTGTGGGTCTGAGTCAAGTGAGTCCATTTTCTCTTGCACTCTGAAACTATAATTTTCCTGCCAAAATGTTTTAAAAGCTGCAGGCAGACACATTTTAGAATTACAGGTATAGCAGTTTTCCTCCCTGTGAGCATGCATTTCATTATGTGCCCTCATGTGAAGCACAGGAAGGGGTGCTTTGGGGGAACAGGGATGGGGGGCTCCAGGGGCACGCCTGGTGTGACACTGCCAGGGAGGTGAGGTGTCCTGAGGGTGTGGGCTGGTGTCCCTCACAGGGCAGTGACAGTGGTGGCCATCTTCCTGCCATTTGGAGCCTTCATGGAGGGTAAAGGTGAGGGTCCCTTCCCCTCCACCCCAGAACAGCCCACCCCCAGGTGCCAGCTGCAAGGCACAGCAGTGTCCTCCCTGTGCCCTCTGAGTCCCAGGAGGACAGGGGCACAACCACGGCTCCCTTTCCTGCTGACAGAGCTGCAGCTGTCCTTGGAAGGCAGAGGTGGATGGCGTAGGCTTTCTGGGTCTTATATTTTGATTTCCCCTGTCATGCCAGCCCCTTCCCTCTGCGCAGACATTGCCACTGTAGCCCTGGGACTCCACCCCGAAGTGTGACACTCCAGGGTGACGGGCTGGGGTCTGTCATCCAGGGCCCCCGAGTCCCTGGGGCATCCACCCTCATGTGGGTACAGGGAATGGGATCCCCACCTGTTCTCTTGTTCCCTGACCCAGTACCTGGGTGGCAGCTGGACTAGTTGAATATGGCTTCATTGTCACTTACGCACAGTAGCTGGGTGGGACCCTACCCCATTTGGTCCTGCCAGATCCCAGAGGCTCTGAACCAGCCCAGGGGTGGGGGCCACCCCATGTGAGGGCTCTGGGGACAGGATGGTGTTCAGGGTGGTGATGTGGACCAAGTCAGCACCTGGCCAGGGTATCCCTGATAACAGAATGGCGGTGCCCTGACTGCTACACTGTCCCAGCCACTTAGCAACATGATGCGCTGTCCCCGAGTCCTCCATGAGACTCAGGCCAGGGCAGGGTCAGTCATTAAGGGGGTGTCTGTAGAGCCAACAGACCCCTGCTGGCCCTGGGGCTGTAAGGACAAACCATCAGTGTCACCTGGACACGTGCCTGTCTTGGGGAGGGTCCCCAGGTTTCCCTCAGGTGTCATGCCTGAGTGGGTGCACCAGTCTCCTGCCAGCTCTATGAGCCTCTGTGAGGGGAAGTCCAAATACCAGGGTTGCAGCAAGGGCACATCAGCCATCCTGGTGCCCAGACCTCTAGAAGGAGAGTCCTGGCAAGCCCAAGCCCAGCCTCAGGCAGGACTCAGCAGCTCCCAGGTGCCCCAAGCCTGTGGCCCAGGGAGCACTTTGTGTCTAGACCACAGGCGCAGGTGCTGGCTTGCAGTAGAAGCATGGGGCAGGGAACTCCTGCACCTACTGGGCGCTGACAGGCAGGGGTGGGGTGCTGGCTGCTCAAGGAGGCTTATGTGCCAGGGAGGTACCCCACAGCCAACATGCCTTGGTCTGCTCCCCAGCCTTTTGTGGGTGCCTGCCAACCTGGCTTGAGCCCAGAGCCTGGTGTGGGCTCCCAGCCTGGGACAGCCACCACCTCTTGCCCTAGCCAGGCTGGGCCAGGAAGGTTGCTCCTCACCCTGTCCTGTCCACTCCCCCCCTCCACAACTGCTGCTGTCCCAGCTGGGAGGCTGTGGCGTCCTGGGTGTCGGCATCTGGCTGGCTGCCACACAGGGGAACTTTGCCACCCTGTCATCGTCCTTCCCATCCTTGTCGGCTGCCAACCTGCTCATCGTCACAGGCACCTTCGTCATGGCCATTGGCTTCGTGGGCTGCATTGGGGCCCTCAAGGAGAACAAGTGCCTGCTGCTCACCGTAAGTGCAGCTGTACGGGGGTGAGGTGCCAGGCTGACCTGCTGATGGCCAAGGGGAGGGGCAGGGGCTAGCAGGTCCCTCACTCAGAGGCAGGGCACCCACCGGTCCCCACCTCCCCACAGTTCTTCGTGCTGCTGCTGCTGGTGCTCCTGCTGGAGGCCACCATCGCTGTGCTCTTCTTCGCCTACACTGATAAGGTATGCGCCAAGCTTATGGCCTGGTGGGGCTGGGCAGGGATGGTCACCAAGTGTGGCTCTGTGGCTGCCCTCTAAGAGTTGGGGGGGAGAGCAGGATCTGCCATGTGGGCCCTGCCACACAGTCTCATCGGCCCTCTATCTGACCACTTCTGTGGGTCAGGCTCACTGACATGCAGCCGTGGTGGCCAAAGTGTGGCAAGCTGCTCTGCATCTCACCCCTGCCTGGCTCTGGAGCTAGCGCTTCCCTTGCTCCTTTCTTTTTTTTTTTTTTTTAATATTTATTTATTTTTATTTATTACATTTATTTATTGTGTGTGTGTGTGGCCAGCTCAGCCCACCAGGGGGCAGGTCTGGCTGGCATGTGGTGCTGGGGATCGAACCGCGGTCCCTGTGCTTTGCCAAGCTTGCTTCAAGTAGGTGCTTTAGACCACTGAGCCATCTCTCCAGCCCCTCCCTTGCTCCTTTCTGGGGAGTCTCAGGCCCTGATCTCCCTGCAGAGCAGGTGCAGGCCCCTCTGTACCCCAAGGGGTGTGCAGGTGAATCTGTTCGACACACGGCCTGCAGTCCAGGGCCCCAAGCCCCAGCCTGGGAGGTTGCCTGGGTCCTGTGGCTCTGGGATGTCACTCAGTGATGGAGGGGTGTGGGGTCTGAGGGTGGGGCGCTCATCTGCCCTGCTGACCCTCGCACCCCCAGATTGACAGGTATGCCCAGGAAGACCTGAAGAAGGGCCTGCACCTATACGGCACGCCAGGCAATGTGGGGCTCACCAACGCCTGGAGCATTGTCCAGACTGATGTGAGGCAAGGGTGCCTCGGGGTGGGGGGTGTGGTTGCTGGCTCTCCCCACCTCAGCCAACTCTCCTCTCCTCAGTTCCGCTGTTGTGGCGTCTCCAACTATACTGATTGGTTTGAGGTATACAACGCCACACGTGTGCCCGACTCCTGCTGTCTGGAATTCAGTGACAGCTGTGGGCTGCATGCTCCTGGCACCTGGTGGAAGGCGGTGAGTGCAACCCAGGGAGGGGGCTCTTTGGGGGCCAGGGCAGCCACTGACCCTGCTTTCCTACAGCCCTGCTATGAAACAGTAAAAGCCTGGCTCCAGGAGAACCTGCTAGCCGTGGGTGTCTTCGGGCTGTGCACAGCGCTGGTGCAGGTGTGTAGGGCCAGGCATACACACACCTTTGAGATGGGCTGGGGCAAGTGTAGGTTGGGAGCCTCGAGAGGCCTGGATGGGTGAAAGTCTCCAACATCTCCAGCTGCAGAGCTTGGTGTCCTCGGCAAGGCCCAGGATGGCTGCTGGGGTTTCAGCTGGGGAGAGCCCGGCCTTAGTGCACATACCCATTTCTCCCTAGCACCAATGAGGCTCCAGGCAAGTCTGGACACTCAGGTGGCTGTGGCAGGGGTAAAGGATGCAGGCTTTGGGGATGGTGGGGTGTCTTAGGGGCCCAAGCCTGTGGTGGTTGGGAACACCCATTGGTGCCCTGAAGCACCCTTGCCCAGCCCTTCCTGTGCCCACAGATTCTGGGTCTGACCTTCGCCATGACCATGTACTGCCAGGTGGTGAAGGCCGACACCTACTGCACCTAGACTACCAGACATCCTGCTTCTCTGCCAAAGGACACTGCCGGGTGGGGAGCCAGCCCAGCCAAGCCCACCCCCCAGCCAGGACTCGGTGCTCTGCTGGGCGTGGCGCATGCTGGCACCTCAGCACTGGTGGCTGTGGGGTCTCAGGATCAGACGGAAGAGTCAGCTGGGATGGAAGAACTCGATGCGTTTCATACACGTGCCCTGCAGTGTGGGGCCTGGTGCTCTGGGGCCAGGCCCCGCCATCACATTCCATGGGAGCTGCTGCTCCAGTGCATTGAATAAAGTGCGTGAGTGGCACTGGCTTGCAGCCGTAGGCCAGGTGCCCCTTAACCTTGCCCAGCCCTTCTGGCCCCCCGATTCCCGGCCTTCTCAGTCTGGAAGCAGGGCTATGGTCACAGGTGAGGCTTAAAGAAAGGCCTGGGAGTCCAAGGCCGCCTCCGGCCAGTCAGCTTGTGACCAGGGCCCAGTGGTAGCTGTCTGGGGCTCAGGTGGGGTGTACTGCTCCCCTAGCTGCACAGCTTCCCTATTTGCAGTCTGTGGGGTCCACCCTCTCCCATCACCTCTGGACACGGCTGTGCAGGACTGGGGAGCCGAGCAGACCCAGACCACAGGGTGGTATTGCACACTCTCAAACACCTACAAGAAGAGTCTGGCTGCATCACATGGGTGGGAGACCCCTGGGAACAAGCCAGGGGACAGCTCAGGACAGGACCCTCCCTGCCCACTCAGCCTCTTCTGAGGTCCCTGGGGTGGCCGCTGCTCTGTAGGTGGCCATTCCCTGCCCACGCTCAGCACCCGTGTACTCTGAGGCTGGCCATGTGGTCCTCCCTCAGTTCTTAGTACCCGTATACCCAACTTGACTGGTGCAGAACCAAAACTGGGCAGTAGCCTCACTTCTCGTCCAGGACCCTGACTGGGACGGTCTCTGTCCTGTAACATTCGGGCCACCCCATTTGCTTACAGGGCTGGGAGCTGCTTCCAGCACCTGCCACATGCATGGGGATGTGGGGTGCCAGTGGGCGGGGCTGAGCCTGTCTAGCTGCCACCCCACCATGCATAACCGAGGGGGTGAGGTGGGGGCCTTGATGCTGTCCCCACACGGGCCCTCCTGTCTGGCCCAGCCCAAGGTCCTGGCTTGTCCACAGCTGGCTTTAGTGGTAGTTACAGAGTTCCCTTCCAGTCAGGGCAGGACAGCCAGTGGTAGCTGGTGGCAAAGACCTACTGCTACCCCAGGTTCAGCTTTTTCCAGAGTGGGGCCAGCACCCTTCCTGGCCACAGATCTGTGCAGAGGACTGAAGTAAACAAGACAGGATCCCATTTGTCTTGGGGCAAGGGGTCTGCACACCAGCCGGTGGGGCCCCTCACTTGGCCCTATGCTGAGGTGGGGTGGGCGCAGCCCCTGGGGATGTGATCCTGCTTAGGACACCCATTCTAGATGCAGCCTGTGGGTCCTCTGCTGCCCTTATGTCTACATTTGCCCTGGGGTTGGCTTCTGCAGCCAAGGGGTGAACAAGCCCATGCACTGCACCATGTGAGGAGCTAAACCTGACTACCCCCGGCCAGTGGAGGGGTGGCATCCCCTGCTCGAGCACGGCTCCCCGGACCACAGCAGACACCACAGCACACATAACAGAGGCCTGTATTTCACATAATCAGCTGCTCCACAGCTGCCAACAGTCCATACCCATTTGGTGCCCCAGCCTAGAGGAGGTCGTAGAAGTAGTCCAGACCCTGGCCCAGCTCCCAGATGGAGATGCCGACGCCCAGCTCCTTGGCTAGCTCCAGCCGTACCTGCAGGGACTGTGGGCACCAACAGGTATGTGGGCACCTGCCCCACTGCCCCTTGTACCCTGGGCACTGACTGAAGGCCACAGGTAGCTGCAGACTCACATATGGGTTAGGGTCACTGAGGGACAGGGTTGGCCGACCCAAACCCTCCCCCACCACCATGCACAGCGCTACCTTTAGTGTTGGGTAGAAGACCAGGTGCCTTCCGCCGCGGCTCCTGCAGTACAAGAGTGACTGTCCACCTTCTGGTTCTGCTACCTCCCACCCCCCAGCTAGGATCTGGGCCCAACCCCTGACCCCAAGACCCCAGCATGTGCCGGTGGTGTTCATAACCCACTCACTTCTTATACTCGAAGAAGTGCTCTGCGGCCTGGCCGTCCCACATCATGCGGGGCCTGTGGTCCTTTAGCATCTGGATGTACCTGGGGAGGCCACAGTGTGGGTGGGGAGCCAGCTGCAGCCCACAGCCACCCTTACCTGGCCCATGTGGCTATCTTGGAAGTGTGGAGGCCATGGGGGCTGCATATTGAGGAGATACTGCCATGTGCTGGGGGATGACACCCAGCCCCGGGCACCAGGCTCCCCAAATGCCCCCCCATCATCAGAGACCTGCCACCTGCTATGCAGAATGGACATGTGTCCCTAAGCTACCCAGAGCTTGGGTAAGGGGCCTGGGCTCTGCCCAGCTGCAGGACAGGCACAGCAGTTTCTAGGCTCCTGGAGTTAGAGTTGGTACTGTGTCCAGAGCCCAGCAGGTTCTTCCTGGGCACCAAGAGCCCAGAGTTCAGGACCACACCTTCCACCTGACCAGGGATGGGGCCAGGCTGGGGGTGTGGAAGTTTGGAGAGAAGCCAGGACATCATGTGCTATAGACTAGGACAGGTGGCCCACAAGGCCAGGGCCACATAGCCTCACAGGCACATATTTCCGGCAGGTTCTCACTTCTGTCTACCTGCTGCCAGGTCCCAGCAACAAGACCAGAGGCCACCCTGGAGGACAGCACTTGGGTGGCATGACTGGTGTATGGGGATGAGTGGCACATGCGTATCTCTTGACCTGAGCTGCCTAGCCACATAAGGCAGGTATCCTGAACTGGGCAAAGGTTACCATCCTGGGGTGGTGACAGGTGTTACCATGCCCAGCAGGGCCAAGCCCCTTGAGGTAACCTAGAGGTGGGTGTGAGGAGGGTGACTCGAGGCTTCGGCCCTGGAAGAGTAGAGATCGCAGAAGCAGAGCCTGCGGGACTTCCACCAGGCCGGGTGTTACCAGGAGGGGCAGTCTGAGACCTGTGCCCCAAGTGCACCTCCTCCAAGGCCCTGGCAGCGTCTTGAGGGCAACTGAACCCAGCCGGCTCCAGCTGCCTTGCACCACACCACTGGGCACTTTTGCCTTTTGGCCCTCACTGGTCTCTTGGGAAGCACCCCCAGCTCTGGCCCTGTAAACATCAGGGACTTGCGATCTGCTCCCCGAGGAAGCGGAGGCCTGTCCCGACTGTGTCCACTGTTTGGATCCCTGACATCATCAGGTCACACTCTGTGGCTGTGGAGGGAGCGAGGGTGCAGGACATGACAGAGGGGACCTGGGTGCTCCCCCAGCATGCCCTGGAGAAGCAAGGGCCAAGCAGTAGCGACAGAGGGCCAGGCACTGCCTGAGGATGTGGCTGCGTGAGAGACATCCTCAAAGCCTGGCCACCAGATCTGTCATCTGTCCTGGAATACTGAGCTCCACATGTGTCAGCAGCCAAGTTCTGGAAGACACAAGCAGCTGAGTCGCCACCAAGGGTCAGGCTCCTGGAGGGCAGCACAGGCCACGCAGACGCCTCTGCCTCCCACCCAGGTCTAGCTGGGGCCAGGCAGCAGCAGTGGGCACTGGGGGGCAGCCTGTTCTACCAAGGAAGCCTTTAGCATGAGGAGCCTCACTGACACTGAGCGCACTTGCTGGCGGGAATCTGGCTGTTGCTGGAGCTGGACTGGGTGCTGTCCTATGACAGGGACTGACCAGGCCACTAGGGCTGCCCAGCCACCCTGAGCAGGCACCACTCTGAAGCATCTCCACCCTGGTGCACAGCAGCTGGGCTGGCCTGAGTGAGCCTGGTGGCGTGAATGGCCATCCAGATGGCCACACATGCCTACACTACCTCAGAGGGCCCAGGCTAGAGATGGAGGCTGATGGTGGGCCATGCTGCTGACAGTTATGCCTCACAAGGGTCAGAGGGAGCCCTAGGTGTGCGAGGCTCCCATGCCCACACTGGGGCCCCACCTGTAGGAGGGGCCACCAGCCAGCACCAGCATGCCCATGATGCCCAGGACGGCACACAGAGCCACGCTCTGCTGAGTCCCCTGTCCCCCATCCCTTCTGATGGTGCAGAACATGTCTCATAAAAAGGGATTTGGCCCCACAGTAAGAGGCTATGATCCATGACTCCAGGCACCTTGGGTCCCCAGGCCTGGAGAAATCAGGTTTTGGATGAAGCAGGTCGACAGAAACCCACAGGAGTCAGTGGGCCCTGCCTGGGGCAAGCTCCACGCCCCAGTCACCTAGCCTGGAAGGAAGTCTCCCTGCTTGGCAGGGGCATGTCTAGTAGTGCTAAGGCCAGGCCCAGGGCAATGTGGGTGTAAGGGCTCAGTGCCCAGCCACGACACTAAGTGAAGCCTCCTGGTAACAGCACACCCAACAGTCTGCTGCATTGCCATGGCTTGGCTGCTTAGCACGGGGCTGCTGGCGGCTGGGCAAGGGGCCCAGGGATGTGGACAGTGGCGACTGCACTGAGCTCAGTGGGCCCAGAGGCAGTGAACTTCTGGGAACTTTCAACAATGCCAACAGCCCGCTGCGGCACGCAGGCCACAGGTCCGTCAGCACTTCTGTAGCCCTCTTGGGTTGTGTCTGAGGCATGTGATGCAGCAGCAGTACGCCAGACAAACCCACCACTCCCTCTCCTACTCCCTGGTACAGAGGGCTAAGAGCCTGCAGGTGCACAACGATGAGCCTGGGTTGCAGGGTGAGCTGGGCCGGCTCCTGATTCTACCTGGGTGACAGGACTACAGCAAGTGACAGGAACCTGGGGCCAACAGCAGACGGTTGTTAAGAGTTTAGGAAAGGACTGACACAGACCATTTTAGTTTTTTGTTTGAGACAGGGTCTTACTGTGTAGCTCAGGTTAGCTTTGAACTTGTAGTGATCCTCCTGCCTCAGCCTCCTGAGTGCTGGGATTACAGGTGTGAGACACCACACCTGGCTAGGACACTTCTGTCACCTGGGCTGAGATGAGTACTGGGCTCTGCTACGAGAGTAGATAAGCCTCCAGAACAAGCAGGGGACAATAGACTCCAGCTTCAGGGCATCCCAGACAGGAGGCCTGTGCAGCCCTGTGTCTCTGAAAGGGCATGACCAGTCGGGGCAAGACCACATAGGTGGAGTAGACAACCCTAGGACAGGGGAGGGTCACTGGGACCTGAGAATGGACACAAAGTCTCAGTTCTCACAGGAGATCACCCACTGAGTAGGCGTCTATGCTGCTGCCCGACCCTAGGAAGGCCAAGTTGAGCAGGGCCACCACTGTCCAGGCTCGCCCAGTGCCCACATCACCGTCACTCCCCTGTGCCACGTTGTCCAGGGTCCTGGGCGAGGAGTGTTTGAGGCAGGGAGGAAGCTGGCCAGGAAGGGCAGCACTTCCCCTCCCTGCTAGGGAAACTCAGAATCCCACCTCCAGCAAGGACAGGAGACCCGAGGGCAGTGTCTGTGGTTGTGCACAGAGGGACACGTGTGCATAGGCTTGTGCTGGCTCCATGCTCCGAGGCCCCAAGGCCTGTGCAGAACAACTGAGGGTGGCACTCTGGTGTCAGGGGCCGCGGATGTCCTGTGAGGGCTGACCGCGCGGGGGTCTGTGCTTGCAGCTCAGCAGTGGTCGTGGAGGCAACAAGTCCTCCGCTCCTGCTGCCATCCCTCAGCACCATCATGTCACCCCCAGGGTGTCCCTAAGTTTGTATGTGGAAGGCCTACTTCCTAGTGACTTGGGACACAGTTGGCAAAACAATCTCTACAGAGGTAACCAAATTAGAATGAGGCCAGGGATGGCCTCCTACGAAGTCAGAGACAAACACAGCCTCAGGATGGCAAGGCCTTAGGTTCAGTCTCTAGCACTGAAACATAGTGAAGGAGACCACGACACAGGAAGGACCCTGAAGACACAGGAGATGCTGTCTGCATAGCAAGGGGAGGCTCCAGAGGGACTGGCCTGGCGACAGCTTCACCTTGGCCTCCAGGATTATGAGAGCAAGCATTCCCAGCTGGTGGAGGAGTGGAGATGCACAGTAGCCCCAGGCAAGTGCCTCAGCTCTCTCATGGAGCCCAGCCCAGGGTGCATAGCTGAGCCCAGAGCCAGAGTCCAGGCGAAGTGGTCAGTTAGGCTTCTGCAGGAGCCCAGACCCTAGAGCAAGCCATGTAGATGTGTAGGGGACCACCACTCTCCACCATGGCTGGGAACGTGGATTACCCTGACATCCCCAACAGAGGGGTCCCCTAGTGAGGGGCAGCCCTGATTAGTATCTTCAGAGCTGGAAGAACCAGAGTCAGTGGAGAGGTGTGCCCCGGCTCCCCTGCCAACTGTCAGCTGTTGCTCCCTCACAGCCACAGGTTCAGCTAAGCACCAGGTCGGCTCTGCCCCCTACCCTGAAACACTGACATTCAGCACAAGGCAGTCTTTCCTCTGCTCACCTGCCCCAGGGACCCCGCAAGGACTCCCAGGGCAGCGGCATCCACCTGACTCTAGACCCCACTCTCCAGGACAGCATTATCAGGAAAGTGGCCACTCGCATACTTCCAGGGGACTTCACTGCACCTAGAACAGGGATGGTGTGTTTGCTGGAGTGTAGCATGCACAGTGCCTCCAGGTAAATCCCATGCCATGCGGCATGGACTCCTAGAGCACTGGCCCACAGCCCAGGAGAGCAGCCAGCCTTGGGGCTGACCACAGAGGACCCAGGCTCAGGACTGGCAGATGTGGCCAGCAAGCCATGGAATTCCACAGGTGCAAAGGTTCAGTAGGGACGTGGAAGATGCAAAACAGGACCTGAACAAACCCCAGCCCTGAGACCCACTCCCTGTGTGACAGAGGAGCACGGGATGGACAGGCAAAGCGGACCAGGCAAAAGAATAGTGAGCTACAAAGGAGGCAACCAGAAACCCCCAGTGGGCAGTCCCAAGAGCTGCAGCAGCAGCAGCAGGAGGAGGGTGGAGCGAGAGTTCAGAATCTACCCACAGCCTTCTGCTCTGATGGAAAGCGTAAGCATGCAGACAGGGATCAAGGCACCCTGATCATGATGGAGCTGTGGGCCAGCAGCGCCAGGATGGCAGGCAGGCGGTGGGGCACAGAGAACAGGGGAGACCACGGCCTCTACCACAGCAGTGCACAGCCAGGCATGGTCACGGGAGCAGAGCCGCACGGCGAGGGACGGTGCAGGAGCCCCTGGAGAGGACACGGCCCGCAGGAGGAGCTGGCTAGTGCGTGAAGGAAGCGCACTGGCCACGTGGGGGCTCACCAGCTGCAGAGCACCCCTGCTCAGGGACGGCACTGGCTGTGGCCCTGGGCTACTGTGCCCGCAGCAGGAGTGTGGCAGGACCGAGGCTGCCCCTAGGTCTCACATTCCACCCCAAGCTGCCCCGAGGTCTCACATTCCACCCCAAGCTGCCCCGAGGTCTCACATTCCACCCCAAGCCCTCGGCCCCAGGAACCCAGGAGCGCCCTCTCTGGCCCTGCAGCAAGGACAGTGACACTGAAACATGACAGGAGGGTCTTGGGCTCACCTGGCCCCAACGACAGGCTCACGAGCATCCTTGGAGGCTGTGTAGTCCATGCCATAGAAGTTCAGCCCCAGAAGAATCTTGCTCCTCCACCTAGACCTGGGGTCTAGGACCTGGACACAGGCTCGAACCCATGAGAGAGGTGCACTGGGGCCAGGCCTACGGGAATGACAGGGCAATGGGCCTCAGCAGCAGGCAGGTCAGCTCCATAGGCAGCCACATGGGGTGTGCTCCTCCTGTGCTGTGGCCGACAGCTTTCATGGCTTGGGAGGAGCTGGGAGCTGATGGCCCCTAACATCTTCTGCTGGGCACCCATGTGCAGCCTCCCTACCCCAGTCTGCAGGCAGGTGTCTGAGCCATGGGTGGGGCAGGCTCAGTAGACACAGGGCCTCCGGTCCTTCCTGCTGGTTGCTGGCTACATCTGCTTCCCAGGCTCTGTGGGAACATGGTGGCCCTGGCTGATGGGGCAGCAGCGAGGCTGAGTGTGTGGCCCCAGCAACACACACCCATCCCAGAAAGGCACCCTCCAACACCCCTTCTCCTGGGCATAGGCCAGGCAAGGGGCCACTAGCTCTCTGTGGAGGGAGTTACGGGGCCCTGGGCAGAGCTGTTGGCCAGAGGCCAAGACGCAGACTGCAGCTTGTGGGGAGCCCTTTCCCACGACACCCATGGCACACTCACTGCTGTGATGTGGAGTAGTCATAGGTCATGAGGCTGAAGCCATCTAGTACCGGGGCTAGCTGCTCAAACTCCTTGTGCGTGAACATTCCCAGCTGGTCAGTCCTGTGGTAAGATGCAGCTGGGGTCAGGACACACTGGCCGGGACCATACTCCAGGCCCCAGGGTGCAGCTTAGGCTGAGCATAAGTGACCCTCCCTCTGTGCTGGGGAGGCTCTGCGGGTAGGGGTGGGTCCCACAGTGAACCCTACAATTCAGCCAAGCTCTAGGACCATGGGCCCTCACAGAAGTACCACCTGCCCACAGGTACCAAGGAGCACTACCTGTCTGCCCCATCCTGGCAGGTGCTCAACCACAGTGCCCCTGCCAGGCTCTACAGCTCTCCTCCGGCACCATTGGAGGAGACGGAACTCCGCCTTCCTGGTGGGTAGTGTTAGGCTGCTCAGTGTTCCTGTGCAGGCCAAGACATAGCTAGAAGCACTCCAGGGACCCAAAGCCAACCACAGACAGGGTTATTCCATGTGCCAGGGTGGACATCAGTGGCTGGCTCCAGGAGCCCCGGGAAGTCCACAGAAGGGAGTCCAGAGGCTGGAGTGGGGACTCGGAGGTGGGGGGACATGCTCCCCCAGGCCTCCTGGCTCCCCCAGTCCTACCTCATGTCCCCAGCACATGAGGCTCCCAGGGGCATGAGGTCCCCAACACCTTGCCTACCCACACGGAGAGAGAGAGCTACAGGAACCAACATGACAGTGAGGCTGAGGACAGCCAGAGCCAGGCAGCTGCACAGTGGAAGGGCAGACGTGCAGGACCTGGCCTGGCCACAGGACCTCGTGCAAACCAGCACTGCCCCTCGCACCGTCAAAGGTGCGCAAGCCTTCCTGCGACGGGCTGACCACTCCTGGAACACCACAGTGACAGCCGAGGGGGGACTACATCCAGAGGGCCTCTCATCCCTTTCACTGCCCCCAAGGGCCATGGTTCAGGGCGGTTAGCACAGGGAGGGCAGCAGTGGCCTCGATCCTCCCCAGGACACCACCTGCCTAGCTGGGCACTGTGGCTCAGGCGCAGCATGCTCTGGCTGGAGCTCTGGAAGAGCCTCTCCAAGTCTGACCATGTCTGTGCCCACCCAGCCTTCCTGGGCGTCCAGGCTCCATACGCCTTCACACACAGCCCCTGCCTCACCCACAGGACCCTTAGGTCTGGCCATCATAGCCACACAGCATGGCCTTGCCACATGGCCCACATGGTGAGGCCCCCAAAGGCCACCGTACCATGCCCCAGCACCTCCACGATGTCTCCCCACCCCGCCCGAGCGGGAAGGGGTGGTTGTGCTGGCACATATGCCAGTAGCACAGTGGCTGACACATGACAATGCTCACAGGATGCTCACAGCCACCACTGACTGTTCCAGAGAAGCCCTAGTGTGATGGCCACTGTGGGGGGAGGGAACACTCTCAGCCTGACCCTGTGGCCCTCTCCTCAGCCTGGATATCCCTGGGGCCCCCTCCTTCCGGGCTGAACAGAGGCTTCTACAGGGACTTCCCTTCTGACACTCCCCCATCATTCCTGGTCCATACACACTGACATCCTGGCCATGGTGCCATCCGTCTGTAACCCACAGAATCCAGAAAAAAGGTGGGCTCTGTATGGTCCAGAGACGCAAAAACAGCTTGTTAGCATGTTAGATACAGTGTGACTTCCAATACGTAAAAATTATTGTTTGTCCTGAAAATCTTATATTCCAAAGACATTTCTAAGGAAAAGAAACAGAGGGAGGGCTGGAGAGATGGCTCAGTGGTCTAAAGCACCTACTTGAAACAAGCTTGGCAAAGCACAGGGACCGCAGTTCGATCCCCAGCACCACATGCCAGCCAGCCCGCCCCCTGGTGGGCTGAGCTGGCCACACACACACACAATAAATAAATGTAATAAATAAAAATAAATAAATAAATAAATAAAAATAAAAAATAAATAAATAAATAAATAAAAAAAAAAAAAAAAAAGAAACAGAGGGAGGAGAGAAGAAAGGAAATCCCGGCCAGGGAGGTGGCTCAGTGGAATAAGCGCTTCCCTGGCAAGCACAAGGGCCTGAGTTCAATCCCAGTTCTGCAAAAAAAAAAGAAGTTCTGACTAGTCTCATAATTACAAACTTTAAAAGGTCATCATAATTTAATCTGACCAGAAAGGAGATCCCAGGCACCACATGTCACTCTGGTCCTGCCCCAGTTGTGCTGAGCAGGCCACTGAGACTGGGTGTGATGGCGCATGCCTGTAATCCCAGTGCTGGGGAGGCTGAGAACAGGAGGATCACTACGAGTCTGAGCTGTGTAGTGAGACCTTGGAACAAGAAGAGGAGGAGGAGAATGAAGAGGCAGAAGAAGAGGAAGAGGAGAAGAAAAGAGGAAGAGGAAGGAGTAAGAGAAGAGGAAGAGGAAGAAGAGGAAGAGGAGGAGGAGGAGGAAGAAGAGGAGGAAGAGGAGGAAGAAGAGGAGGAGGAGGAGGAGGACTTCATTCAGTACTGTCTAGGGTGGGCTCCAGGCAGTCACAGCAGCAAACATGCACACTCACTGGCTCTCGATGCTAAGCTGCCAGCCCAGACGGCTGCACACCCCCACGCTGGCCTGTGCCCACCTGTGCCAAGACAGCACCTGTGTGGACAACCTGGCCCTGGCTGCTGCCCGTAGCTCTGGCCACCTCAGGCCCTCCTCCCCAAGCTGTCCTGTCTTCTTAACTATGGACACACTTCCTCCAGAGTAGGCCTGACTTAAGTCTCTGCAGCCACTTGGGGTTCTTCGCCCCAAGACCCCAGACTCCAGAAACCTAGTAGTCACCAAGAAGTCTCGTTTATGCAGCAGGGGCCCAGGAGCCCCTCTCCTGTGTTCCACCCTGGGTTGCTCTGAGACCCCAAGTCACTAAGCCTCCAGATCTGGGAAGGAAGACAGCCCTAGGCCTGTGGTCAGCTCTGAGCCTGAGGGGCTGGGCTGACATGGGCACCCACGTGGGCACTCTGGACAGCTGGCCCACCTGATCTTCCAGGTCTGGAGACCTAATTGAACCAGTTCATGGAGGCTGCTGCTCCCCGAGGGTCTCATCCACTGCAAGGGCCGTGAGGTGGCCTTGGGAGTGGGGCTCAAGGTCAGCACAGCAAGGAGGCCCAGTCTTGACAGGCTGGCACAGTCAACAGGCCCACAGCACGGCCATGCTTGGCTTAGCACAGGGCAAGGCCCAGTGGCTGCAGACTCAGCGTGAAGCACCAAGTCTCTGGGGGCTCCAGGGCCTGAGAGTGAGGGGATCAGGTCCAGAATCCACCCGTTCTCAAACTGAGAAATTCCTCAGGGGCCTCCAAGTTCATCCAAACCACAAGACACAGCCTTCCACTGTTGACAGGGGACAGGAAGGAATGTCAAAGCCAGCTGAAATGCAACCTTACTTCCTGCCCTGCAAGGCCATGACCAGCATCCACATGGAGAAGTGGGTCAGTGATATGCACTGGGGGGGGGGGGCTGGCCCTCGAGGGAACCCTGCACTGGCTACCCCCACCTCAGGAAGGAAGGCACTTACCCTGGAGTGACAGCGGGTGGGATGACCAGGATGGCCAGCAGCCGGGCCTGGTGCAGTGCTTCGGCCACGTGGGTGAGCATGTGGATGAGGCCCCTGCCAGGACAAGACGTGGGTCAGCCCAGGGAGCTGCCAGGGCCAGGGTAGTCAGGCTGGAGCTTCCTGCCTGATGGCCCAGACCATGCCCCTCCACAGGGCAGTCAGATTCTCCATGGAGAATTCCCCGCCTCCTGTAGACATGGCCATCAGAACGGGGACCCATGAAGGGAACTGGAGGAGGTGGGCTTTTTCCACTGAGGGCCTGCACACTGCCTTCCCCACACCAGATCTCCAGAGAAGGGCCCCAATGACCATGCAGCCCAAGGCCCAGGGCCCAGCATGGGCCCAGCACACTGACCTGAAGGTGGCCTGGTCAGCCTCAGGCTATGCAATGCTGTGGAGTACTCTGAGGGCCACCCAGGTAGGACTCAGAAAAAACGAGGGGCTGGACGCCAGGCACACAGGAGCTAGCAGATGAGTCCAGAGGGAGGGACCCCAGAGGGCCTCCTGCTGGCCCCCAAGACACATACAACTCAAGGGCTGAAAGGATGCCAAGGTCACTTGGCAAGGGGCACCAGGAGCCTGGGCAGCTACCACTGGCAACAGCCCTCCTGCACGGGCTGCAGCTGACCCTCTATGAAGGCCTGTACCCATCCAGTCACTCTGGGCTGGTGGACCAACCATCAGGAGCCATTCCTGTGGGACAGCAGCAGCAATGTCACTTTCAAGCTTCACCAGCAGACCCTCTGGACAAACCCATCCTGGCCTGTATCTAGCGGGCAACTATGTGATGAGAACCTGCTGAGCCTATCCCAGACCCTAGTATAAGGGTAGAGTTCAAGGACAGCCAAGGAACAGACAGGAGTGGCCTTCCCCAGGGCAGGCTGCGGGGTACCTATGGGAACGATGCCTCAGGGCCTGCAGCCTCTTAGCCGTCATGCTAACAAAGCCCAGCCTCAGTGACCTGGCGTAGCTGGCACATCACTCTTCCTGGTTGGGCAGGGCCTCTCCTTGGACCCTTGGTATTTGTGGGCGGAGACCCTAAATCTCCTCAGCACTGTGAATGGAGGCAGGCTTCTGGCTAAGAGCAGCTGAGGCCACCGGCTGCTACCTGAGCACCTCTGAAACTGCAACCGCTGAGCCCCTATGGGGAGAAGGGGTAATCTTTACCTCTTCCTTGTGGGACTCTGGAAGGAGCCCTGGGGGGCTGGGGGGCCCAGGTGCGGACTTGACACCAGCACCTCCCCAGGGTTGCCCACACAGGGCCTCCTACAGTGCCGTGCACAGGGACAGCAACCCTGGTCACTTGGTGTTCTGAAGCAAAATGGCAGAGCTGGGAGAGAGCTCCTAGCCACCTCACCATCCCCAGGACAGGAGTTAATGGGCTGGTTCCCCAAGCCCACGTGGCATGGAAACACAGCCACCCACCACATGCCTGCCTGAGCCCGTCAACTATGGCCTTGGCAGGATGAGCTGGCATTTCAGATCCAGGCTTGATGCCCATAAGGTGACCAGTGGGGCAAGAGACAGAGACCAGAGCAGCCATTTCCTTAAGAAGCTGCTGCCAGACTAACTACCAGGTCAGCAGCCCTGCTGACATACATGACGGACTGGGTGGCTCTCCATCCCCAGCCTCCACTGCAGCCCTTCCCATGGTGGGCTCTGTGACTCCCCCGGCCTCCAGCTCCGATATTAATGGCCCATCAGGGCCCAGACACAATGAGGCCACGGCTTACTGTTCACTTAATGCACTGAAATGGAAAAGAGCTACAGCAAGTCAGCCGTTGCCCCAGAAGAGGAAAGCAGGGAGCGGAAGTGTCTCCCGTGAACGAGCCCTCCTTCAGAGGGGCCAGGAGGGCAGCAAAGAAGGACCCAGTGCCTGGTGAGGCGTATGTGGGTATGAGGCTCCCCGCAGATCCAGGGATGCCCTCACCTCCTGTGGTGTGTTCCCTCACCCCTCACCTCCCCTACCCAGCCTCCAGCAGGGCCCACCTGGCTCGAGCCTGGAAAGCGAGGACTGGCGCAGCTTTCATTCTTTTTTTTCTTTTTTGCGGAACCAGGGATTGAACTCAGGGCCTTGCACTTGCCAGGGAAGCCCTTATTCCACTGAGCCATCTCCCAGCCCACAGCTTTCTTTCTTGCCATGAGTCTCCACCCTCACGGGAGGGAGTTCAGCAGCAAAGATCCTGCAGGGCTGCTGCCTCCTGGCGGCTAAGCTGAGCCCTGCAGTTCTTCTGCCTTCAGCAGTGGCCAGTAGATGAAGGCACCAGGGTATCTAAGGGTGCCTCTGGGCTGGCAAGGCAAGACAAGGCCTCCCAGCTTGGAGCTGGGCCTTACACCCCACTAGAAGTCCCTCAGGCATGAAAAGAAAGGCAAACAGCTGGCTTGGAGGTCTCTCAGACAGCAGGCTGCATTCAGGCCTCTGCCAGGTGTGCTCTGGCAGTTTCTTCTGAGGGTGTCAGGGCAGCACCAGCCATGGCTGGGGCAGAATCTTCCCTGTGGAAGCCAGCTAGTGGCTGCTGAGTGGGACCAACCGGGGAGACCTTTGCTCAGGGCTCTGGCCAGCTCCAAGCAGCCCTGGACTTTCAGGAGCTGCAGACACCTTCCAGTGCCCCTGGTCACCTAGACAGGGTGTGGGGACCCCTATGTCCTATCAAGGCAGCAAGGTGACATAAGGGTTCTGGATGTCTTTTCCCAGGGACTGTGGCAGGGCTTGGATAGCCCTTTCCCAGAGAATGCTGGGCTGCCATAGCAGCCAGGTCCTCACTGCCCTTGGCTGGCCTCTTCTGTTTGAACCCAATGTCTTTGTGTGGAGCTACATCCCCAGCCCCCAGCCCCCAGCCCCACCTTTTTGTTTTTACCCCACTCCTTTTTAAATTTTTAATTTTGAGTCTTGCTATGCTGCCTGAGTGGGCTCAAACTTATAATCCTCTGGCCTCAGCCTCCCAAATGCTGGGACTGCAGGTGTGCACCCCTGTGCCTGGTGGCTGACCTCTTGTTAACACCCCAGGCAGGTTCTTGTGTATTTAGTGAGGTTTTCTTCTGTGCATGCTGGTCCCCAGGCACACCATCTGGACCACCCTGCTCGTGCTGAATCCTTATGGGGTAGGGTCCTCTGTTCCCTTTGCCATCCACCAGGTGGCACAGAGACACGGCCACTCAGGGCTCCTCTAAGTTGGCCTCCACTGTGGGGGTCCCATCCCACCCAACAGGGACCACAGGCAGAAGGCCCTCCCAGACACTGCTCTTCCTTTCTGACTGCTCATCATGACTGTCCACAACTAGATCAGAAACACATGCCAGGCAGCTGAGGGAGGCGCAGCTCTGGGAGTGTCTGTGGGTGTCTCCAGAGATGGCCAGCATGCAGGCCAGCAAACTGCAAAGGAAGACCCACCCCGAATGTGGGGCACCAGGCAATGGGCCTGTAGCCTGGCCAGAATGATGAAGAGAAGGAAGTGGGGAGGGCATGTGTCTGGCCAGAGCTCCATCCTGCTCCGGCCCCAGAGTCTGCTGCGGCCCTCGCCTTGCACCTCAGCCTCGTTTCCTCAGCTCTGATGCAGATGCTCTGAGCGCCCCTCCAGAGCGTGCAGCCCTGTGCCCTTGGGCCTGCGCTGTGTGCTTGGGCCCTCTGGTTCTGCGGCTCCCATCCTGGGCTGAGCCGCTTCTGGATCCCTTGGCTTTCCGGTGTACAGATGGCCGTGTGGAACCTCCTGCCCGACTCACTATGGTCCCTAAACAATCTTCTTGCATAATGACATTTTTTGTTGTTTCTGCTTCTTCAGACAACCCAAATGATATGCTGTGGTCCCTCCTCTGGCCCCTGCCAATTCTGGCACCAGAAAGGGCCACATGGGGCTGGAGAGATAGCTCAGTAGAATAAGCGCTTCCCTGGCAAGCACATGGGCCTGAGTTCAATCCCTGGTTCCGCAAAGAAAAAAGAAAAAAGAAAAAAAGAAAGAAAGAAAGAAAGAAAGAAAGGGCCACACGCAGCTGCCTGCTACCCTACTCACACGTGCTTCTGGCTCAGCAGCTGGCTCCACACCTCCACCACGAAGCCATCAAAGTGCTGGTTCTGAAAGAAATGGCAGCTGGTGAGGAACAACAAGGATCCAGGAAGGACAGGTAGGAAGATACACACTGCGTCACTGCCCTGCCTAACTGGAAGGGCACAACCCCATGCTGCCCAAAACCCCTCTGGAGGGGCAGGATGGGGCAACTCCCTGGAGCCAGGGGCAGCGGGGCTGCACTGTGTATTTACCTGCTAAGTTCTGCCACCTCCGCAGGCCAAGCTGAGGGCAGCCACAGAGATACACCTCTCCAAGGAGGGCAGTAGAGCTCTGGCCAAAGGCCTGCGTCACCTGCTCTTGGGACTCCCAGATAACCTCTGAGGCAAGATGGAGCACTCAGCAGCCAGACCCAGTCTGGCACTGTCCTCAACAGAAGACATGGGCTTGGCCAGAAGAGGTCCAGGAAGAAAGCCAGGCCAGAGGCGCTAGCAAGGCCCCGTGATAGTCCCAGCCAGATGTGGAAGCAGGAAGGGAGGTCCTGGAGGGAAGGGTGGGCTCTGTCTAGGGAGACAGGATTTGGTGGCTATACCAAGGAGCCCCACCTACACTCAGAGGCCAAGATACCCAGAGGTCTCACCTTTGCTACTTGGACCACAGTCTTACTGAGCTCTTCTATCTCATCCTCGCTGTCTAGGACGTTCCGGAAATCATCATAAGTCCAGTCTTCAAACAGAAGACGAGGCACTGGGGTGTGTGTGGGGAAACACAGAGGTTGTTACAGAGAAAGCTGAAATTACCCTCTGCTTGTTGGCCCCCTAAAGGTGTCCCCTTGGCTCCAAGAGCTGAATAAGAACAGAGACAGATGGTGAAGCCACCCAAGACAGGTGCAGGTCCAGTATGGAAGCCACACCAGCGCAACCTCAGAAAGAAGGAATCTCAGGGAAGCAGCAAGTCATGCTGACAGCCTTTCCCATCACCAGGCTTCTAGGAAGGGGCTGGCCAGCCCCTGGATGGCTGGCTCCCAGTTGCCTACAGTCTGTGTGTAGCAGCCCCAACCTCCATCTGGACAGCCCCACTCGCTCCCGCGTCCTGGCCCAGCCCTGACGCTCCCACAGAGGCTTCTGACGGGGTGGCTGCATTTCCGCTCCATCTCTGCCTCCGCCGCATGCTCACTGCTGCCGCTGCCCAGGCTCCTACTGCGGCAGGACACAGGTCCTCTGGGAGGCCCCGGCCTGTGCAAACAATACCACCTGCCTGCTCAGAGGTGGCAGGGTAGGCCCTGCACTTGAGGCACTCCCTGTTGGCTCTGAAGCCTGCTGGACTCACCTAAGTTCAGGCCCTTGGCGTGCTTCCTCACGGCTCGCATCCAACCTGCAGAGCACAGAGGTGACAGTCAGTGCGGGAGAAGATGCCTTGCTGGGAGATCCAGCCCATCCAAGGAGGAGAACTGTCGAACAGCAGGCATCAACACTGGGGGGGGGGGTTCAGCTGGGGAGGGGACAAGGCTGGAGGGAGAAACTACTCCCTCAACCCAGGCACAGCACTTCACCAACCCTCCTGCTGGGCACGCCCCTCCTTCTGGCCTTCAGAGTGGCTCCTCCCCTGCTGGCACAAAGGATGGTCTGAGTCAGGCAGCACCATCTCTCATACCATCCCAGGGCTGTTCCTCTGAGCTGAGGGGTAGCCACATGCCCAGGCATTCCCCAACACACTCCCCTCTCCCCACACTTCTCATGGCATCAGGAAAACCACTCCTCATCTCAGAACTTCAAATCCCCCTAAGGTGAGGCTCATCCTGTAAATTCTACACAGATGGGATGAGTCAGCAGCACAGCAAGAAGAGGCACAGGAAGGGCTCCCAGGCCATGCTCCTCATTGCTCAGGGTAACAGTTCCATTGAAGTTCCTCACTGTACATGCAAGGGAAGTCCTGTCATACAGTGCCCAGGGCTGCAGGCCAAGATGCATCCAGAGGGAACCTGTGCTGGCCACGCCACCCAGCCCACCCTGCCTGCTTGCCTGGCAGCCATCACATGGTGTGTACACTGGGCTGTGTATGGCAGAGGGAGGAGGTCATTCTGGTCACACATCCATACCCAGAGACACATCCGCTATCACACTTGATATGCTGTCAGCCACGCACTCTCAACAGTGATCCCAGCATCACATACCCACTTTCACACTCACAGATGCACTCAATCTTCTCAGCCAAGGAAAAAGCAGACAGGAGGGAGGTCAAGCACCTTGGTCCACATCGTGGAGGCCTGTGATCTCAAACATCTCCCGGCCACGCCTCTTCAGCTGCAGCCAGACAGGCGAGATCTGTGTGAACTTGCTCCCAAAAACCTTGGCCACATCGTAGCCATGGCTGTTCCACTGGCAGGGAACAGGGTGACAGGGTGGGTAAGTGTTTCTCTGCTGTGTTATCATGATGCCGTCCTGGCTACCTAACACACGCATGCCTGGGCCAGCTGGCTGGTGCAGACAGCACTCAGCCTGGATAGACATTCACCCCTGCCCAGTGTACCCTCCTTCCGGGCTGGAGAGCTGCTGGGATGGCCATGCCGGCTTGGGACCTGGCCCTGCCCCCCTCACCAGGGACGATCACTCATCTCTCCAAGTCTCATCCTCAGCCGCCACCCTGAGCTTGGTTACATGGTCCAAAAGGCCCAAGAGCCCTCTAGACTCGGGGGCGGGGGAGTGTGTGTGGGGTGTGTTTGCAGCCATGAGGCACAAGGCTCAGAGACATCCTGGCATTCTTTACCCTGCCCCCTCCATAACAGCACTTCTCTCTGCAGTCTCATAGTGGCAACAGCCCAGGGAGGTCAGCACTCAAGGAGGTGGCAGCACACGGCTGGAAGCAGACCGCTGCAGCCTCAGGGCCCCTGCGCCTCAAGGCCTGGACTCACAGGCGTGATGTAGCCCAGGACATCCCCAGCGAAGTTCCTCTCCCGGGCCTTCGAGGAGCAGTAGCTGCGATGCTCAAGGACTACATCTTCCGCTTTGAGGTCTGTCACCACCAGGCCACGCTCTTGGACGGGCTTATCTGAAAGCTGCGTCTGAAACAGCAGGAAAGGGCGGAAGCCATTGGTGTGTGTGCTCAGCGTGGAACACGGTGTGGATTGTGTTGATTCTGCTGTGGCTTGGTCTCCAGGTCAATATGGCGAGGCTCGCTGGAGACCTGGGAGATGGAGGACCAAGCACAGCAGAATCTGGCTAGGAAGGAGCACCTATGCTTGTGTTCAAAATCCCTGGCACTGTCCCATAGAACAGCGACAGCTGTAGTGGCTGGTCCTGCCCTCTTTCTTCCTCGGCTTTTGGTACTGGTAACTGAACCCAAGGTCTGCACATATAAGCAAGGGCTCTGCCACTGCGCTACATCCCAGACCTCTATACCCAACCTTCTTGAGGCCCTCAGACCACTCAGTGCAAATCTGGGCACCAAAGGCCACACTTGTCAAGAACATGCCTGGCCTGTGCAGCCCTGATGGCCAGCCCCACCTACACCCAGTGTGATCCCCCTTTGTGCACCTGCTCCTGGTGTCCTCCACTGTGTTAACCTGCCGCTCTGTGCACCTTCCAAGGTGCTGCTCAGCTGCCCCGATACTGTCCCCTCTTGACCTCCCCCAGTAGAGCCCACTGTACAGTTCCCCGCTCCAAGGCAGAAAGAGTCCTGTGACACCAGCCTGGTTAGCAGCATGGGCTCCAGAAGGCTAGCCTTGTCCCTTTCTCAAGTTTGTAGTCCTGGGGACCTGAGGGACAACACAGGGCTGTGTTGCAAGCCTGCATCAGAGAAGGTAACACTGGCAACACAGAGCAGGAAGCGAGGCAGGGGCAGCATATAGCAGCTGTCACAGGAGTCAGGCCACAGGGGGACGAAGGTGCCACTGAGAAAGTTGCCACCCTCAGAACATGGCTCCAGGGGTTGGTTGTGCAGAGCTGTGGCAGCTGGACACCAGAGCTGCCTGGGCCACAGGCCAACTGCCACCCACTTGCCAACCAACTGCACCTTGTCCGGCAGCCCTTCTGTTGGTTGGCCCACAGCCCCAGCTGGGAGGGAGGAAGAAAAGGGTGGCAAGGAGGTCACCTCATGCACCCAGGCACCCTACCTTCTCTAGCAGTGTCTTCGAGGCAGCTTTTTTAGCATCTGACTTTGACAAGGTAGCACAGACGGAGCCCCAGGCCAGCGCAAGCCCAAGGATGGGGAGGATGGCGAGGAGTGTCTGCATGGTGGGCAGTCGCAGCACAGTCCACCTCGAGGCCCAGCGGCTGCAGAGAGCAGAGCGCACAGACAGCTGAGTACGTGGACACATGGCACGGCCAGCACTTACCCCTGCAGGGTCTGGGTCATTGCCCAAGGCCAGGCCTGGTCCCTGGACCTGGGCCCTGCCCTGTTGCCTGTGCTGGGTCATCTCCAGCACTGCTGGGCTGTCCTGCCTGGCCCAATATCTCCTCCCTGGGAGCACAGTTTTATCACCATTGGCCACAGAGCCAACCCAACTGTGGAAGCTGTCCTGACACAGCCCATTGTGTAGGAGGCTCTACTTCCCTTCCAACACAAGGAAATCGCAGTCATTATGAAGCATAAAACAGAGCCACAGAAGGTTCTAGAAAAAGCTGATGTCCTTTGTATACAACCTCAAGGTAGGGAAGGCTTTTGCAACTGTTATCAGCATGGGAACAGTTATGAAAGAAAATACCACCAAAGTTTACTGCATAAGAATGTAAAACTTTTGAAGCCAGGCATAATGACACACATCTGTACTCAGGAGGCTGAGGCAAATGAATCACTGGACCCTGAGTTCTAGGCCAGCCTGGGCAAGCAAAAGTAAATTTTTTATTGTTTTTTGAGGCAGGGTCTCATTATTATTTTTATTTTTTAAAATTTATTTTATTTATTTATTTATTTTTGTGTGTGTGGTCAGCTCAGCCCGCCAGGGGGCGGGGTGGCTGGCATGTGGTGCTGGGGGATTGAACCGCGGTCCCTGTGCTTTGCTAAGCTTGTTCTAAGTAGGTGCTTTAGACCACTGAGCCATCTCACCAGCCCCAAGGGTCTCATTATATAGTTCAGCTTGCCCTGGAACTTTTCGTGACCCTCCTACCTCAGACTCCCAAGTTCTGGGATTACAGGTACGTGCTATCATACCCAGCTAACAAAAACTTCACTTAGGAAACAAAACAGAAAATTTAAAAGCAGGTAAGTCAGAAATTATATATTTGAGGGGCTGGGGATTTGGCTCAGCGGTAGAATGCTTGCCTAGCAAGCTGGAAGCCCTGGGTTTGGTCCTCGGCACCAAAAAACAAAAAATAAACCTCCCCTAAAAAAAAAAAAATTCAACCAAAAAAGTACAGTAAAATAAAAAAAGACCAAAAACAAACAAGGCAACAGAAATTATATATTTGAAACATACCTGACAATGGGTTTCTATCTCACAGTCTGTCATATTAAAAAAAAAAAATGTACAGGACTGACGAGATAGCTCAGTGGACTAAGTGCCTGCTTAGGCAAGTGCAGGGACCAGAGTTTGATCCCTGGCATCACAGGCCTCGCCAGTCCTGCCCCCAGGCACTGAGCTGGCCGCAGAGACCAGGCGTGGCGGCGCATGCCTGGAATCCCAGTGCTAGGGAAGCTGAGACAGGAGGATCACTACAAGGCTGAGCTGCATGGTGAGACCTCTACCAAATACATTAAAGAAAAAATCACAAGTCAACTGAGAGTGGTGGTATACTCCATAATACCTGCATTCTGGAAGGCTGAGGCAGGGCTGCAAATTCAAGTCCAGCGTGGACAATGTATTTACTTAGCAAGAAACCAGCCTCAAAATAAAAAACAAATAAATATAAGGAGATGAGGATACAACTCAATGCGAAGACCCTGAGTTTAAGCCCTAGTACTAAAAAGAAGATGAGGAGGAGGAAGAATAAAGAGGAAAGTAAGTAGGAGGTGGAGGGAAAGGAGAGGAGAGGGAGGAAAAAATACCACAGACACCCTAGTGAAAGATGTTCACTGAAAAGTAAGAAAGGGGCAGGAATGGCAGTGCACACTTGTAATCCCAGCACTGGGGAGGCAGAGGCAGGAGGACTGCACTAGCTTGAGGCCAGTTGGGCTACACACTGAGTTCAAGACCAGCTGAGACCTTGTCTTGGAAAAAAAAAAAAATAGCAAAAAGCAAAGCAAAGAAAAAAGAAAAGGGTTAAGAATAATGGCACACTGGGCCCAGGGAGATAGCTCAATAGAATAAATGCTTGCCTGGCAAGCACAGGGTCCTGAGTTCAATCCCCGGTACTGAAGAAAAAAAAA